TGGCTTGTCATGATGACTAGGTTTGCATGACCTCCAGAAAAAAGAAACAATGGTGATTTCTTTTCCTTGCCCTGTGCATGTAGGCTCCATGCTCACAATTTGCCCCATTGCCCAGATGGTGCATGGGCTGCCATGTAATCGAAGCCCAATGAGATTTGTGCCCATGTTGGCTTCCAAAGTTTGTAAGCCATCCACACGCCATCATGCACCTCACTGGGTTTGAGCAACCTGTGCATCATAAGGGTAATTAGACTAATGCAGTTTTCACTTATATCTTATGCCATAGTCTTAACTATTTAGATTTTTATACTTTATTTTATAATTTAAATTGTTTTTAAACTGTTGTGAACCACCCAAATAGCTTTAGCTGTTAAGCAATATAAGAAATGTAATAATGTAAATGTAACACAGCATCTCCAGCAGTGGGGAGAAGAAGCCACTGTGGCCGTTGGGAGCTGAAGTTCCTCTTTTGAGCAGTCAATGCCAGAGACCATTTTTCTTGCAAAACTTTCTTTATTGCTCCCAAGTAATAAAGGACCCTGAGGGTGTGGAATGGGCTTCCACGAGAGGTCGTTGAGGCCCCATCGGTGCGGGTGTTCAAGGATAGGCTGGACGTCCACATGGTGGGCATGTCGTGAGCGGAGCTGGCTGGTGCCGGAGGTCAGACTAGATGGCCCAGGAGGCCCCTTCTGACTCGCTCTGTTTCTATGTTTCTAAGTACAAATCACCCAGAATGGATCTCTGAGCATGCACAGAATGGTTTGTTGAACCCAGTCTGGTGCTTACCTCCAGGAATTCTCCTTAAGAACATGCCTGGGTCCCATCTCCTCTGGAAGAACTTTCCAAAAGTAAGCGTGCCTTCCCTCTGCACACTGCTCATTCAGTTTGGCTTCCCACCTCTGCTAACACTTCACATGTGCAGTTTGAGGATTCCTCATCCTCAGAGAGTCTTCCCACTAGCTGTATATCTTGGTTGTTCCCAGAAACTGCCTGGCTTGGCAAAACGCCTGGCCTTGATATAATCACCTCCTTTCATCACAGAATCTTGACCTAGCCCGTTCACTCCAATTTCACTGCAATTATTCTTGTATTCTGATTCCGAATCATTTGGGATGTAGCCAGAAGTCTGTGACAATGATTGCTCAAGACCACCATCCTTTTCACTTCCAACTGTATCTTCTTCCTCCAGTGATTGAGCAAACTCAGCAAATGCTGAAATTTGTTGTGGTTTCCTCAGCATGGTTGGTTAATGTTGCACAAACCACTGTGAAAATGCATAGGTTGTTGGGTTGTTCAGGATGGTTTGTTTTTAGAGTAGCTTGTTGTGATGTGTAAAACCAACAAGATGGTTTGCACATGACTTGTTGGAAAGTACTACAGAGCCACTAATAAGAGTGGTGAAAAATCTGATTCTTCCTCATAGCCTTGCTAATGTTATCTTCTCCTCCTTATGTCTAGGAATGATACCATTTCATTCCTCAGCTTTGCCCCCTTGCATTTGCAGATATTTAGTGTAGTTTTCCTACCTTGGGGGAGATTTGCACATATTTAACTGGATTTTAAAGAACACACAGGGAGGATTTCTACACATTCACTTATATAAGCTCTGTAGTTACTGCACCTAAGCAAGCTCACACAAATCCCATCCCTGTTTGTTTGTATTACATTTGTGCTGTTTAGGACATTTGCATTTATTAACTGATTAGGCTGCTAAGGCTGAGCATGAAAAGTACATGGGATATGTACCTGGAGTGAGGAGGAGAACTAAGGGAGATACAAGTTTCAGCAAAGCTGCCCAGTCATCTTTTGGGAGTAACATGGGTTTGTGAGTTAACAACCAACCCACTATAGTTTAATTTTATGGTGGGGTATTATAGCGTGCAGACAGGCCCAGAGTGTCTAGGAATAGGATGATATACTGAGGGACAGTCCAGTGGTAACTAAAATACTAATGACTAGTGGCTCAGCCCTTGAAGCATAGGTGATTACTAGCAAGAGGAGGACTTTAGATCCTTAAATTGAATGGTGCATCCTCCATCAGCTAATCATGAAGTTCTGCTAATCTCTTAAAACTACTAGAGCCTTCCCATCCTTTTTGAAGAGGACATTCCGTTTGAAATCTATGGCACAGACTCCATTTTGTTAGAAAGTTTTACAGCTTCTTATTTGATCTGTATCCCACAAAGCTGTTAGATATGGAAGCAAATTCTGATAATTGGAACTGTCATCTCTGGTACTGGTACTATTTGCTTTCAAACCATTCCTAGCCATAAGCTGTTTTGCTCTGATGTCATAAAAGCCTGTAGGAGAGCATGTGAGGAAGTCAAAAAAGTTCCAGTAAACTAACTAAAGAAACAATGCCCCCCCCCCCAAATTACACACTTCTGATATACCATCTTTGATATATAATCACTAAATGGATTATGAAATTCAGAACTACCAGGACTCTGATCTTATTGAAAGTTAAGGAGTTTGTTATAATTTTTAAAGAGGATGAGGATGGAACTTAGATGACCTTCTGATATAGGACTAAGCAAGAAACAGTGTTGTGAAATGAGAGCAGATTAAGAAGAGTAAGGGTACTGTATGGCATGACATATTTTTCTGTTAGCTGGAAGCTACACCCAACATTCTCTTTTGCAAATCTCATGGAAATGTCATGTGATTAGTAGACAAGAATAGAGAAGTCTGTGTTGCCTTTTGCAAATTGACTATTTTCAGAAATATCTGGATCTCTTAGGGAACATGGCTTATCACACAGTGCTTGAAGAGTTTCTCTTGCAATTTTCTCAGAGCTGCAATAATACAAAAATGAACAGATAGCCGTAATACATTTTCATGGGCCATCATGGTCTTTATGAGAGTCTGGAGGAAAGGAAAGTTAGAATCTATAATATTCAGTCAGTCACCTATGTCCAAAAGAGTTTTGTATTATATTGGCCGCTCATTCTGCCTCCCAAATTGTACAATTGTGTTTCCATGTTATAAAAGAAAAATAGGTTTCTTTTATGTATATACAGTGGTACCTCGGCTCACAAACTTAATCCATTCCACAATTCTGGTCGCAACCTGAATTGGTTGCGAGCCAAGTCAAATTTCCCCATAAGGTTCAATGTAAATAAGATTAATCCATTTAACTTTATGTTATACATAAAGAACGGCATATAAAAGATTTAAATAAATATGTATGTATGTATTTTTTAACCACAAAAATAACAGCATGAGCCACGTCCCTGGGCTGCGGGCCGAGCCGCGGCTGCCTTGCTGAGCCTGGGGGCGGATGGAGCGGAGAGAAGGAGGAGGCGCCCCACTTGGCAGGCCACAGCCACGGCCCCGTCCCTCCGTTCCCCTCGCCTTGGCCCACGGAAAGCAGCCCTTACCTCCCTTCTCATGGACCTTTCCTGGAGTTGGGTCAGCGCCTGCGAGGGGACCTTCCTCCGAAGCCGGAAAGGCCTCGACAGAGGTGAGGGTGCCCTCATGGCTCCCCCTCGTGGTGGGTGGGGAGAAGATCATTGTTTGGAGTGTTCGTGCAGAGAAGATGGCCGTGATTGTGATCATCACCTGATGCGGAGTTTGCAACCTAAGGCAAAATTTTTCTGAAATTTCTGTTCCCGACCTGATTTGGTTGTGAACTGAGGCGTTCGTAAGCCAAGCACCACTATAATTGACTAACTTGGGAAATTTAAAAAATAAGTTTTCTAATGCTACTGTGATTTTGAAAGTTAAAAATGTTTTGTGTAAGATGATAAAATAAACTGCACTTAATGTATCTACTCCAATGGAACTGTGCCAAGCTTTTATCTGTTGTCCATCAGCTGAGGAAATTGGGAGAAATTAAACAGCTTTCATGTGCTATAGATTTTTATTTAGTTGAGCAAGAAGAGTTGATAGATGTTTACATACTTGGGTGCTATTGAGAGCAAATGCTTGGTGAGTTTCTGATCAGAGGCCTCATATTCTGTCTCTTTAGATTGCAGAAAGCTAATTTTGGATCTCTGTAGCTACTTGCAAATGCCTTTAAAAATCCCTCTGATTAGGGGGGCACACAAAAGGTAGCCTTTGGGCCACGTGTTGCCTACCTCTTGTTAAAAGAAGTCTCCCCTCTCCAGTCCCCCAAATAGGAATAATGGCAACAAAATAATAAGCCTTTGTTTTGCCACTTTCCACTACCACTGATTTGGAGGAACCCAAAAGGAATGTGGGAGACTCCTGGTTATGCAGCTGTCACTATGTTCACTGCAGACTGTGTGTGTGTGTGGTGTTCAGGTAGTAAATTGTGCATAGAGCAAGTGTAGTTGTATTTGGTGTAGCAGAGCTAAGGTCTTGTCCATTCAAAATGGTCCATGGATGCTTTCTCTTAGATGCGTATAATGCAGTCAATGATTCTGAGCTGGCTTGAGCACCATTGTTCTTGGTACAAGGTGGGATTAAAAATCAAAACAAATAAATAGTATTTGGTATTTTATTTTAGAATTACAATTTACTTGAGCACTGTCATCTAGAGAACATATGTCCTTTAGCTGCATAGGGTTATCATAAAGGTTTGTATTACAGATTTCTACTACAGACTAAGGATTCTAGAGATCGGTTTAGGACAGTGTATCATTCTCATACTAATTATGGATAGTGTCTGTGCAGTATTTCATTCTTAGATGAACATTTGCACATGTAACACCTCCACAGAACACAATCAATAGATATGAAACTATTTTCTCTAAACCCTGCATACAGTTTATTTCATGACCAGTAATTTTTCTTCCTCCAAAGTATCACACTTTCTAGCTTCAAGTAGTTCAATAGAATAGCCAATCATGAATATTTCAAGTTGGTAAGTGCTGTTCACTTTGAGTAGTTGCTAATACTGTTGATAACTGTATGTACAAACTGAAAGTAAACACAAATATCTCTTTAAATAAACTACCATCTTGCCCAAGTTTTTATTTTTGTTCATTTCTCTCTTCTTTCCTTGCTGTCACCATGCTTATTTCTTAATGAGAAAGGATGCCGGAGCATCAGTAGGGGAAAGCTTTTGTGAAAAGGTGGGTCACAAATCTTGTTTCAAAAGCAAATTTATGTTTGGCTTAGCTAGCTTGCTCTCTCCCCTCCCCTCCCCTCCCCTCCCTGTGTATGAGTGAGATCCAATTTATTTTCCTTTCCTTAGTTTGGTGATTTTATTCTTGTCCCTTCAGAAGCTAACATCTTATTCAGGGTCAGAGAAGGAAAACGCTTATGAAATCACTGTCCGTGAGCATGTTGTTGACTTAAGTCTTTTGACCTGAGAAAGATAATTACTGCATTACAACATCTGCAGTTATTCTTGCTTTTTCCAGATTGCTTCTTTCAAGCAGAGCATGTCAGGTTTTGTGTGTGTTACCATTTTCCTTACATTTTGTATTTGAAGACCTTCAGAGATGCTGAAGATACTTTGGTTCCTGTCCTAAAACATCCAAATGCTACTCTCACACACACCTTTACCTCATAGGTAACATACAGTATTAACCTAATTTATTGACAAGTTGCTGTCCTTTAGTTGTACCCCCCAAATCTTTCACCTGAGATGTGAACCTTGAGTTGTGTCACCATGTCTAATGGTAGAGAGCACTGCAGGAAATTGGCCAGTCAGCACCATCTCTTCTTGTGCCCAGATTTTGCTTCTGCATTAGCTTATCCATTCTCTCCTGCCACTGACATTAAAGAATGAAAAATACTCAGCACTAAGTTTTAACCACTGATTGATTTCTTTTGATTATATTATTGTACTCATTAATGCAATCAGTGTTGCTGATTTTCATTTGCTCTATAATCTTCCCACTCCTTTGTTCCCTAATACTGAAAAAAATGCAACTCTGAATCTGATGTAAGAATAAGCTCCCTGGACCAAGGCCAACCAAGGATGGGAATTGATGGATGAAATTATCTTGCAGAATTGATAGGGAGACATGCTAAAGCAAATGGAATAGAATTGGATACTAGTTGAGGATATCGGGCCACAAAAATGTAGCGAAGAAATGAACATGCAAGGATAAGAATATGAAGACAGGTGAAATAGGGAAACTGGGAAACTAGAAAATGCTATGCACAAATGGTTCTAAAGGGAAGAAAACTCATAATATGCATACTTCTGCAGCTGATCATATTTTTTAGTGGAACCCACCACTTTTGTGAAGCTTTTTACCTTTGTTGCAAGCAGGGGACTATGAAAACGCAAAGTCTCAAAACCACATCATTTCCCTTTATGCACAGTACAGTGGCGGCTAATTTGTGTGTGCCTGCAGGTAAAGTGGCTGTTTAAAAATTATTTAAAACAGCACAAGGAATTCTTTGATGTCAAGTAGAGTGCTGACATCTGTGTACAGAAGTGGAGTGCTTTGGCTGCAACAGTTCTGATTACTTAGTTTTGCCAGTACGTTTGGGGTATGTTTGCAGCAGGATATCACAAAACCTGTGTTGAAATCTCAAGAAGCTATTGCTGTACATATCACAGCTAGGTTGTTTTTTTCTAGTTACTTGAACCAGATCAGCGACCCAAATACTTCCTATTTGTGCGTATAAAGATACATACCTCGTAGATGTTAGAGCAAATGGACTTGTGTAAGCTTTACCAGTCACTGTTTCATCCTGGACATGTTCCACTGCTCCTCCTAAAATAGCCCCTTGAGACATGGCACATATTTCACTCAAACTTTCTGCTGCTACGTATTGGTCACATTCTCATGACATAACAGCCCACCCTGGGAATAAGCTGTGTTGAATTATTCATAGGCAGTTGGGCTCATCATGGATTTCCCGCCTCCCAGGTCCTTCCATGGGTATCCCAAGGGACTCCATAGTAGGACTTACCTAGTCTTCTCTGCTTCTGCTATCCATGGTGCCTTTTTTGACTGCTGCAGTTTGTTTTCCCTTTTATAGCCCGGAAGTGAGCTCTTTGCGATCTCTGAAGAGGCAGCCATGGATATTCCTTCATAAGGCCAAGCAATACGTTGGAGTAGCTGTTACTGACTTGTTACCCTTTAATTTTGTGCTCCCAATTTGCTCAAATGGTTTCATTTTTAAAACAATATGGATAAGTGTACAGTTCTGCTTGTAATATTTAATAGTGAAAGATACAAAAAAGTGCTAGTGCTCAGTGAAGCTTCCATTATCACGGTACATCCGTCAGTTCCATATTTTGATAATATTTGGATAATTTAACCCCTTCTACTTTTTCAGCTGACGCACTACTATGGGTCAAGACTTGACAGTTTGTGATAGGATTAGATAGCTGAGTGCACAGAAAATAGTGGAAACATTGTTGACATTGGCTGGAATTGTCTCAAATTTATACCTGTGCTGTATCATTTTTAGTCCTTGACTGGTATTAAAATTGCATTGTTAGGAAATGGTAGGGAATTCTTTTCTGTTTATACCCTGACCATTGTTTCTGTAAATATTGCTGTTTTCACAGCATTAACATACATATTTGAAGGCTATTTATAAGTTCAAAGAGGAAATATGTTTTAATGCCACTTTAATATTTTAAATAGCTCCATCAAGTGTTCACTGTGTTTTACAGACTAAAAGAAGCAGGTTCCTCTCCCAGTGAGCTTAATTTGTAAATTTGGGTAGAGTGAGGGAGAGAATGAAGAGTAAGGCAAGAATTACTTAGCAAACAGAAACAGGAAAACGGCCAAGGGTGATGGAGTGAATGTGACCAAATACAATTACACAAACTAGGACTCTGTTTTAGTTGAGAATGTATACTGGAACAAAGCCTAACAGCACCACTTTTTACCCATCTGTTCAGAAATAACGTCTGTTGGGTGGGTTTGTATGTCATGCACTGCACTCTGGCTCTAAGCCTGAGTGGGCTAATTGTTTCACGAATAACCTACAGTACACCCAGGAGATGATTGGGCTCACTGTGGATTGTTTCCCCCCTCCCCTTGGTCCTGCAGTAGAATTAACTTGTATTCCCTTCCACTGTGACCATAAGCCATTTTTGGCTTGCTGAAACTCCCCCTTTAAACCTTTTCCTCATTTTTGGAGATCCTATCATGATCCTCAATGTGACAGCCTGTGATAACCCCTCTAATGTACCCAAACAGTACTTGGCCACCTGCTTTCTTTAAAAAATGCATCCCAAATGTGCACAGCTATTGTGCACAAATTATTTTTATAGTTGAACTTGTGCAAATACAGAGGTTTGCACTTGCACTGGTCTGAAAAAGAGAAGGCTTGCCTGGGTCAATATCCTGGGGGTACCTGCTATCTCAGTGCAGCAGGTAACACTAATCTTAAACATTGACCCAGAGGCGATCCAAATAGCCTTTTCTCCTCCCTTTGCTTTCTCCTGCCAGTTGCAAAGCACTGAACTATCAAGAGAAAGGAAAGGAAAGCAAATGATCTTTGCTCATGAGAAGGAGTGGTAGGATTTATGCACCCTTTGTGGCAATATCATATTTTTCATTTTGCCCTGAAAGTCCTAAAGAAGATGCACATTTTGCACTTTTTCCTGAAACACTGACTGCTTAGGAAATGCATCTCACCTTGTTTTTTGCGTTTTCTTTAAAAGGGAGCTTTGATAGGACAGTGCTTGCTTTTTGTCAGGGACATATACAGCTGTGGCTGCTTTACCTATGACAGGTTCTTGTATTGTGCAGAACAGGTCATTGGGTTCAGTGTGTTTACTCTAAAGTGAGTGAGATAATGATTGCAGTTTTGCACAAGTTTGTGCAGATTGCACAAGTGTCTGATCACATCATCTCCTGTTTGCTTTGTTGTCCCCCAGTCTCCTAATTTATTTTTCCCTAGACTTTTCTAAAATATTGAAATCCTGAAATGTGCTATTCGAAAGGTGCAGTTAATAATCAGTTCCTCCAAAGCTGAAAGAGCACTACAGCACTTATATGAAGATTTTGGTTAACACAGAGGAAATGTTGGTGGACATACAATGTATTAATATGTAAAAATGTTATGCACCTGAATTTGGATGTGGGAGTTAGCTGTTTTGACTAATAAACATCGACCTATCCTCCATGAAATTTTAAAAACTTCTTTTGAAAAACATTCAAGCCAATGACCATCACCACCTCTTAGGATAGTGAATGTCTTGTTAAACTTTTTGTGAAGCAATATTTTATTGTGTGTCCTAATCCACTTCAGTTATGATTTCAAATTCTAGATTATCTTAAGCCTGTGTGTTTCTTTTTACAGCACACCTCTCATGGTGACGGACGCCAAGAAGTTTCCTCTCGAACTGGCCGTTCCGGGGCCCGCTGTAGGAATTCTATAGCTTCCTGCGCAGATGAACAACCCCATATTGGGAATTACCGACTTCTTAAAACGATTGGAAAGGGCAATTTTGCAAAAGTGAAACTGGCCAGACACATCCTTACTGGCAGAGAGGTAAAGTATTTTGCTGGTACTGGAAACATAAAGTGTGTGTGTGTGTGTGTGTGTGTGTGTGTGTGTGTGTGTGAGAGAGAGAGAGAGAGAGAGAGAGAGAGAGAGAGAGAGAGAGAGAGAGATACACACACACACACACACACATACAAGAGCAGCCAGTTGTTGTGGTTTTACCAAACTGGAATTCCTAATGTAAGGATTTCCAGCAGTTAAAAAAAAGTAAACTTAACAAAATTAGATTCTTTGTTTTTGAAATGGAAAGAGAGGTGGATTACTTTGAAAAGTTACCTTGGGAAAATTGTGGATGAAACTTTCCTGAACTGAAGTATTTGTACATTAAGATACATCAAAGAGTGTTCACTGCACACATTCCTAGCAATATTATTTGAATACATTTTTTGTGTTTCTTTTTAGTATGTTACTAGAAATTAGAATTGGATGTTCAGTTGTTCTGATCAATCAAAATACGAACTCTGCTTAATCAGATGAAAGGCCTATTTTGCTGACCATCCTCTTTTCCACAGCAGCCAATCAGATGCCTCCAGGAAACAGGTTATGAGAGCTATAGCCTCCTGTTGTTCTTCCCCAGCAACTAGTATTAAGAGGCATAGTGCCCCTGATTTTGGAGGTAGCACTTCAACGACATTATAATTAGTAGTCATATATTGTCTAATCCTCCATGCATTTATCTTAATTTTCATTTAAAGCTTTTTACATTGATGGTGTACCACACCTTGTATGGTATCTTAGCAAATTCCATCAATTAACTATCCAATGTGTGAAGAAATATTTCATTTGGTTGGTCCTGAATTTTCCAATTTTCAGCTTCATGGAGTGGTCCTAGATTTTAGTGTTACATAAGACAGGAAAAATTATCTTCATTTTTTTCCATACCATGAGTAATTCTATTAACTCTAGCTTAAGTTTGCACCTGCCCCCTAATTTGTCCAAAGTAAATAGTTGCAAACATTCTAACCTTTCCTTGTAGGGAAGTTTGTTCCAGTTCCCCAATCATTTTTGTTGCCTTTGTTCTTCAGCTCTACAGTATTCTTCTTTTGAGGCACATGTTTTTCCAACTGTAATTTATTTATTTATTTATTTATTAAAACATTTTTATGCCGCCCCATTCGCCGAAGCCTCGGGGTGGCTTACAACATAGATAATTGCACCATAGATTTATATGAAGGCATTATGATAATGGCTCTTTTATTTTTGATCCCTTTCCTAATGTAGAATTCACCTTTCTCACAACTGTAGCACACTGGGTCAGTGTTTTCATGAAGTTATCCAACACCCTCCCAGAACTTTCCTTTCCTGGTCAGTCACCAGCAGCTGAGACCTCATTGGTGCATATGTAAAGCTAGGATTTTTTGCTCTCATGTGTATCACTTACACCTAGTCATAGTGAACCACAGTAGCCATTTTAATGCCCATTCACCCAATTTAGAGGGATCCTTTGGGAGTTCTTTACAATTCCTTTTTGCTTTTTCAACCTTGAATAATTCTATGTCACCTGGGAAGAACAGTGAACTAAAGGTAGTAATGGTTACTTTTAAAACAGTACGGTCTCTGTTCTTCTGAGGTATTACATTATTCTGGGGACAGTAGCAGTATTTTTCTAGTTAAGCTGTTGTACTTTTTTTGTATATGTTGAATTATATTTAGCTTTGATCATAGCCCAGCTTAGTTTTCAGTCATGATAATTAATCTAGAAAGGGGTTACCTTCTCTTTGTTAACCTGAATCTGCCATGCATGACATGAAGGAATTTATTACAGAAAAAAACAAAACTGCTTTGTGTTACCATTGCACAATCTCATTCATGAACTGGTTTTTGCTTATGCCAGATTTTAACATTAAACTATAAATGTGCACATTTCTTAGAGACCAAGTGCCATTAAATTCAGTTTCTTTTGCAGTGAGACCATGCTGAAATCATAACTGACTGTTGATGGCCATCCAAGAGTTGGTGTCATTACTGAAGGACCAGCAGGCTCAGCTAGAACTTTAAACCCAGTTGGTCGCCTTGCACCAGTCACTAGCTCTCTAGCTCTCCTGTAGTTTGTTTCCATGTTTAATGAGGAGAGTATGAATACAAATGAGGCTTGAAGGTAGATAGGGCAGCAAAATGGGTTGTTTAGAAATGGCACAGCTTCCGTATCTATCTTGAATTGTCTGGAGGGCTTTCATTCCTAGGGTTGCCCTAAGTCAGAGATGGCTTGATGGCACATAACAACAAACAATAGAGAGAAATACTGGCATTGGGCCATCCACATTATTCAGCAGAGCTATTACATTTGTTTTCAGAGGCTAAATCCTTATACTTTTAGCCCATGAGTTTGCTTTTCTTATTCATGCAACTGCAGTGATTTAAGCTTTGTGCAGAAAGTTACTGCAGAAGTAGATGCGGGGGCAGAATCTGGTAAAATGGAGAAGTGTCTTTCTCTTTAATACAAAGCATATAATAAATCCAGGCTAATATCTTATTTTCATCCAAGAAAAATGAAGAGTAAACAACAGGTACAACTTCAGTACTTTCTATAATTTAAAAATATATATTTTAAACTGAATAACTAGAAACCTAATGGAATTCAGTGGACAAGGATGATAACTCTCCTTTCAGGAAGAAAGTGACTCCTTGGAAGCAGGCAGTCGCATTCTCAGCTGATGTTCCTGAATAGCTTTATATCATTTCAGTATACAGTGTCACAGTTAATCCAGTCTGGATGTGCTAAAGCTGTTGATTAAAGTGCATCTGGTAAGCAACAGAAGGAGGATGCATCTAGTAGTAGTGTGTTGTCTTACGTGGATGAGGTGGCACTGTTGTGTATGCTGACAATCTGTGTTTAATACATTGTAGAAAGTTCAGTCAAGGGGAAGAGATTTACCGCTTGGGGTGAAATATGTCTTGGGTTAAAGCTGATTGATAGAGGCCAAGTAGCTAGAAAAATTAAGAGAAATGTCACCATAATCTTCAGGCAGGAAACCCCATCTATAGGCTGAAAAGTTTTATAATCTTATTTGATGTATGAAAATTTCCATATTTAGTATGATACGACAGAAGTTAATAAAATTATGTATGATGTGAAGAGAGTGGCCAGAGAAAGACAGTTGTTCCCTCTGTCATAATGCCAGATTTGGGATCAACCAATGAAAGTGATTGACAAAACTGATAGACAAAAGGGCATATGTCTTCATACAGCACATAAGTAATTTATGAACCTGATGTCACAAAGTGTGCTGATGGCTGCTAGCTTAGATTATTTTATTGAGGGATTAGATAAATTTATGAAAGACACATTTATCAATGACTACTAGCCATGATGACCATGTGGAACCTCCAAGATGAGAGGCAGTATGCCTCTGAATACCAGTTGTTAGGTAACCCAAGCAGGATGATGCTATTGCATTCATATTTTGCCTCCAGCTTTCCGGAGGCATCCAGTTGGTCACTATACGAAGAGGATGATGGACTAGTAGGGCTTCTGTTATGTACTGTACAGTAGTCTGAGGTTCCATTGGAACCTAATATTTGTATTCACTGCAGAAAACATAGGGCAGGTTCCTGTGCCTGAACTGAAGTTTTCAGGAAAAAGGACAAGGAACTGAGGCATATAGTACTGAAGATGAAGTTCTCTCCCTTGCTGAAAAATTGATAATATCTGAATCACCAGTCCAAATGGTATCCATTTGTGAGTTGTTAAAGGACTCAAATGTGAAATTGCTGATCTTCTAACAAGTAACGTGTCCCTAAGTTCAACCTCCATACCAGAAGATGAAATGTATCCAAGCTAACACTCAATTTTAAAAAGGGACCCAGGACTAACTACATGCCAGTTAGTTTAACATCTGTTCTGGGTAATTTGAAATTACTGAGGTGAAATGCCCTGGGTAGTTTCTGAAAGCATTATAATGATAGCATTAGAAGTATAAGTTTTGCTAGATGAGAATCAACATCATTTCTGCAAAGGCAGGACCTTCCTTACTAAATGTTTAGAGTTAGAAACATAGATACATAGAAACAGAGCGAGTCAGAAGGGGCCTCCCAGGCCATCTAGTCTGACCCCCATCTTCAGCCGAGTCCACTCACGACATGCCCACCATGTGCATGTCTAGCCTATCTTTGAACACCCTCACCGATGGGGCCTCAACTACCTCCCATGGAAGCCCATTCAAGTTCTTTAAGAGTATCAAACAGCAGGGATAGGATACATAATTTACTTGGACTTCCAGAAGGCTTTTTACAAAGTCCCTGATCAAAGCTGTAGAAACCCTTTTACAGATCCAGAATCTACCAAAGAACAGAAATCAAGATAGCAGGAAAGCCCTTGCAGTGGAAGGATGCTAACATTTGAGGTTGTCCAAGTATCTTCATTTAACCAATACTTTTTAACTTTGTAAGTCATCACCTGTTAAGGGTAAGTAGTGGGGTGACCAAAGGTAAAATCTCATGAAGGTGGGAGGGGAAGCATTCTGCCTCCTTGGCACAGTGCCCTGTACTGTGCACCCTCAAAATCGACACTGAAAGACTGGGGGCAAGAAGAGAGGAGCAGAGTCATATTGCCTGAAGTCTTATACAGGGTTCGCTTCTGGTCCCAATTTTGCTGATGACAGCGAACTGTTTGGGGTGGTTAAAAAGAAAAAGGGTTCATGTAGACCTCAAGAAGGATTTTCCCAAAGTGGATGTATGGACATTAAAATGGTAGCTTAGTGTAACCTAGTATTAAAGTGATGCACATTGGGTGGGGAAATCCCTACACATATATGTAGGATCTGAGCTGGAGATGAGTGACCAGGAAAGGAATCTTAGATTTGTAGTAGATAATGAAAATGTTGACCCAATACAGCTGCTATGGAAAAAGCAAATTTTATTTTGGGGATCCTTAGGAAATAAATTGTCAATCAACTTGCTAATATCACAACACCAGTACCAATCTGTAATATGACCACACTTGGAATACTGTGTACAGTCTTATTCAGTGCACCTCAAAAGAGTGAGAGAGAAGGGCAACCAAAATGACCAAGGCTCTAGAGCAACTCCTCTTCAAGGTTACAATGGCTGATGCTTTTTAGATAGAAAAAAAGCAAGTAAAGGGAGATTTATAAAATTAGGCCAGTCGCCATTCATAGTGTGGAAAAAGCAAATAGGGAGATGCTTTTCTTCCTTGTTTCTGAGATCATGCCATGAAATCAAACAGTATGGGTTTCGGAACAGACAAAAGGAATTTCTTTTCACACAGCAATAGTTAAACTGTGGAATTGGCTACTTCAGGATGTACTGATTGAAAGGCTAATGGTTGTGTGTGCATGTATGTGTTGCACATGCATGTGTATTTCCTCCAGTGTCAGAGCCAAGTATGCTTATAAATACTCCAGTTGTAGAAGGGTGCTATTTGCACTCATTTCCCTACTGTGAGCTTCCCAGAGACATCTGGTTAGTCTCTGTGGGTATAGAATGCTGAATTAGAGAAATCTTCGGTTTGATCTAGCAAGGCTGCTCTTATGTTCTTAAACAGAGTAGCAGCTGGTAAACATTCTTAGATGAATGCTCACATTTTCTGAGGTGAAATGCCCTTGGTACAAATTGACTTGTTCCAAAGAAGCTCACGAAGCCTTAAATTATCTTAAGAGTAGCTTTGAGCTTTTGGGACTCGTTCAAAGTCTGGATTTGTAACTCCTTGTGCTGCTTGACAGTTGTACTTTATTACCCATGCTACTGCAGACAGTATTTAAAAATGACCCCTATAATTTCTTTCTTACCCAGGTGCCATCTCAACTCCCATTTTTCTTCCCATTTTACTAGTACTGATGGTGGTTCTAGTTGGCATTGCTGTTATATGCTCTCCATTCCTTCAGCTGCCATAGTTTCACTGTATTGATCTGCTAGATTCTAGCAGATTTGGCAATAGCATCCCTACAATTATTTCATATTTCTTTTCTTGATTAACGCTGAGTTTTTATGTGGAAAGACTCCCAGTTTTAACGAACTTACTGTTCAAAGAAGGAAAAAGCAATTGGCACATTGTTTTAGCTGTTAACCTGAGAAGATGCTTAGCAGTTAGAGAAACAAATTTAGCCCTTCGTCTCTTTCCCCTTTTTTCCACTCAGCCACCCCACCCCCCAAATCTGCCACTGTGGATCCCTAGAACCCTCCAAGAACAAATTTGCATGAGCAACTTTCAGTGGGTAAAAGAAATCCATCTCCTCAGCAGTTCAGTGGGTAAACAGACAACCAACCCCTTGAGTTGCACATCTGTGATCACATATATTTGAAAGTGATGTCCATCTACCTCTGCTGTCTATTTGAGATGTTCTTGGTAATGTCTCTTCAGGTATTCCCACTGAACTTCTGAGGGGTTTAAAATTACAGCCCAACAATTAACATGTTTATTCCCACTGCCTAATTTTCTCACCAAGTGGTAGTGTGTTTGTATTGTGGTTTGTGTATCTTGCTTTTTTTAAAAAGCGTCTTATGCTTTTACATATTGAAAACTAATGCAAGAGAAACATCTGGACTGTTCCTTTTGAGAACTTCTAAAGGGGTTATAAACTGCTACCAGTAGTTACATTTGACCCAAAATATTTTGTTCATTAATTAATCTACTGTATTTGTCAATCTTGTATGAGCTGTACAAACATGGCTTTTCTGACCTGCCCTTCTTATTGTTGCTAAGCTTACGAAGATGTGAAGCTGAAATACTCACATTTCCTTCTCCCATTTACCTTTCCTCCATTTTTCTCCCTGCCTTTGTTCTCTCCAATGACTTCATTTCTAGATTGCATACCCCTGAAGGATCTTTTCTCTTATTCTTTGTAAATGTATATGGATAGTGTCGTAGCATGTTTATTTTCTCTGTTTGCGCTATTCAGGCATTTCTGATCTAGATTGATTGATTGATTGATTGATTGATTTAGAAAGCTTCTATGCTGCCCCATTCGCCGAAGCCTCGGGGCGGCTTACAACAATAAATAACAATATAAAACAATATAATATAATTGGAGACGTCCTGGCCAATAATAATACCAGATCTTTAAAAAAAAATCATTAGGGGAAAAGACTCAGACTGGAAGAACCCTGAGGAAAACCCAGTAAGAACTGGGTAAGCTTAGTGATCATAGGATGCTAACTTACTGCGGTTAGAGAAGATTAATAGGATTAAGTATTTCGTTTAACAAGAACACTAATGGTTTGGGATCAGACACCTGAAGTATTGCTGTCTTTCCTGAAAACCTGCCCAGATGCTGAGATACTTCCAAAAGAAACACCTGACATGTGAGAAAGGGTCTGTCCTATGTTTGTGTTTAAACCTTGCAATGCCTTTTGAAGGAGGTGTTCATCTAGTCTCCTTATTATTGGTGTTTATTTCCCCAGTTCTCTCTGAGTTAAGAGCTGTAGAGATTTCTACACAGGTAGCGATCGTGTCTGCTGTCTTGAGTGTCTTGGAAGAAAAGCAGAATATAAATATAAACATTAATTAATAAAAGCCTTGGCTGCTTTGTTTTGCCGTTCTGCATTTTTAATTTGATGACATTCTTAACTGGTGGCAATTTGAAGACATCTCTTATCTGATTGTATTACGATATCATTTGTTATATGAATGATTGTTTTAATGTGGATAGTATTTTTTATCACATTGGGCAGTTTTTATGGAGAGGTGAGGTACAAATGTAAAAAATAAGCTGAAGCAAAATCAAAAGAAAATACAGAAAGTAAAAACTAAGCTGGAGCCCACAACTGCAACTTTTTGTTGTAGCTCCCACTTATCATTAGAACCTCTTTCAGAGCTCAGTAATGGCTAAGTGATGCTACCCCTGAATTATTTTGCTATCCAAATTTGTGATGACCAGTTCATGTTTGTTTTTTTTCATGTTCATTAATTTTAAAGCTTATTATTTGTACCTTTACTTTGTGCAAGGCCTGCCCTATAGCTGGTGCATTATCTCTGAATTGCATTGTGGCCAAAATTCATTCAAAAACAGTTATTAATTGCAGGGTTTCTCCCCTCTAGGTTGCAATAAAAATAATTGACAAAACTCAGTTGAATCCAACTAGTCTACAGAAGGTAGGTCCACTTAGATGGTCAATCTTTCAGGTATGCCATTGCTTTCCCTTTTTTTACCTTCTCAACTATCGCTTTCCAGTCAGCTCTGAGTTCATTTTAAACCTTACACGATCCTTACTCAGAGAGCTGCCATTAGTGTCATTTCAGTTTAATGCTGACTTGTTTTCTTCCGCTGGGGGGAATCAAGCAGTCTCATCAGATGAATTCCAACTTGAACTAGGAACTTGCACAAAAGAAAATGGCTGAAATAACATCAGTCTTATTTTTGTATCCTAATACCCCAAACTGCTGCATAAACTGAAAAAGATGTCCTGTGTCTTTTGTTTTGTTTCATGGACAGAAACTAAAAAAAAAAAGGCATTCACAGGGATCCATTTTCTTAGGCTGAAGCTACATGCTGAATGACAGATTGAGGTCTGGGGATCCAGGTTGCTACTGAAAAACTGAAAAGCAACAGGTTGCTGAAGGGGACTTTTAATCCATCTCCTATGCAATGCAGTCTCTTTTTCTTTGAAATATGCAGTATATGCAAGCCATACTCCTTGGAGAAAAGGAAATGAGAGGTGTGTTCAGAGCAAAAAAGTTGAGGAAGACTTCCATCCAGCCCACTGTTCCTCCAGTGGAAATCCCTGCTGCCTTTTAGTTGTTCAGCAGTGACCGGTGTTTGTTGCCTATCTTGTATTTCTGTGTTACGAGATTATGTTGCTTTTGAGCAGTGGATGTTTGTAGCTGTTGGAATGCTAAGTCCTTGTATTCTCCTACCATACTGATAGTTTGCTAGTGTATCTCTCAGGATGGTAGCTTGTTTAACATAAAACCAGTTGATTGCTTCCTTGTGCATTAAGAGCAGCTTTTCAGAAACAATCAAGAAAATGCTCGACACCACTAACCATCTGGAGACCTGAGTTACTTGAAAATAATGTAAGAGCCAAATATTGCTTTGTAGAGGATTACAAGATGCTGTATTTCCTAAGAATCAGAGTTTGTCTTCTTGGGAAGCTTCCAAGTACTAGGAACCACCCCCTCCACCTCACACACACCCAAATGTATTCTGCTTTATTTATCAACATTAAATTATTGTTCTTTGTGGTACGAGGACTAAAAAAGCCTTTATCATAGGACTCAGGTTTGAAAATTAATGAGGGTCATCAGTGTTGATTTAATAAGGACCTAGCAACTTAATGAAACAGAATTTTGCAATTTACAGGAAATAATTTGTTATACATTTTGTTATCTTAAAAAATTACTAGAAAATAGGTAAGGAGCACTATTCTAAAATGATTGTGAAAAAACTGCATTTGTGCGCACAACTTCTAAAATACATCCCTTATCTCTTTCATACACACACATTTATAAATGCATGCACACTCACATATATGTAGAAATCATGTATTTGAAAGATGCAGAATAAAGATTGATATGGTCCATGAAGCCAAACTGTGTCTGGGAAAAAGAGCATAAATTGCCATTAAGTATGGGTTGCACCCAAAGGCAGTCATTCTGCAGGTGGAAAAGACCTCCTAGTGCAGGGGTTGACAGCCTTAAACATTCAGAGCCATTTGGACCCGTTTCCCACAGAAAAGAAAACACTGGGAACCACAAAACCCTTTTGACATCTAAAAATGAAGATAACACTGCATCTAAAATGAAGATAACACTTACCTTTATGCTATGTATTAAAAAACAATAGTGTGTTGCATTTATGAAATCAATGAATGATTATTTTATATAATCTCCATCTGTGAACGGCTTTCCATGCCTGACTATTTCCTGAGCAGCCACAAAACTAGCATGTGTAGTTGAATTTGCAGACTTGATCCACTTCTTGAAATGATTTTTGCTCAGATCAACCTTCCGCATCAATTCCTAAATGACTTTTTTTCTCTCATCTCCATCCCGATATTTTTCAGCAAAGGCTGTGTGTTTATTCTGGAAATGTCTTGCAACATTCGACTTTTTGTTGTTTGCCGATTTCTCACTCCATATTAAGCATACTGGTAAACCAGTCTTGTCAGCAGTGAAAGCAAATGAATCTGCCCATGTACCATTAAATGTTCTGTTTTCTTCTGAAACTTTTCTTTTTTTGGATTTATCCATGGTTGGCCTACCGGAGGTTGAAAAGCTCAGTAAATAGCATGCCGGTGGGTGTTGCACATTGGCGGTTGTGACACATATTTTGAGTGAGAGGGAGCTGCAGCAGAGGGATGAAAGAGCCACATGCGGCTCCCGAGCTGTGTGTTGCTGACCTCTGTGCTAGTGAAATGGGAAAGGAATTTTTAACCATTTCCTATCCACCTTGCAGGCCGCTGTACCGCACCTCTAGACTTAAGACTGTAAACCTTTCCTCCTCCTCATAGCAAAGGAAGATGGTGACAGTTACCAGGATTTTAGTCAAGATTAAACCTCAGAAAACTAGAAGGAAGTATTAGCACATTTGGGGGAAACCCAAAGTTGCAGAAGTACACCATCTTACCATACAAAGCAACATTTGCCCCTCCCCTCAGCTTCCTTTCCTTCCCCCTGTGATGGACCAAACTTGCTTAGTAACCCAAAATCTAGAGTGATAATTGTAGGAAGGGAAAAAGCAGAACACTGTGGGCCCAAACAAGAAACCTGGACTGGAGTTCTCCTTTTAGGAGGCTAACTACCTTGCTGTTTTGAGCACCAGTTTTTTTTTTTTTTTGTGTTTTTTTTATGCAGTCCACCAAATGTAGTAAAATGCCTAGAAGTTTATCATGACCACATTTGTGTCTTCTTCCTAAAACCCCCAGATAGCACAGGGTAGGTCTGATTTAAAGCAAATTGTCTTAAATCACAATTTAAATCACTAGTTAGTACTAATAGATTTAAATCATGGTTTTCTACATAATTTGCACATGTGACCACCTTACTTGTACATAAAGGAACTTCATTAAAATATTTTCGAACTAGGTCTCCTTTATGCCCTGCTGCCATTATAGGTTTTCTCTTCCAGGGAAATAGTAGTATGAGAAACCTCAGGCTATACACAAAAAGATGTATAGCCTTGTGGAGTATTCTGCTCAGAAGGTTTCACTTTCATTTTTACTGCTTGCCCCCCCTCCTCACACTTCTGTTTCCACAATCTTCTATTCATTGATTTTGTTAAAAACTTAGCACTTAACAGATAAGGGGTTGATTCTGTGTACATAGATTTGCAAAGGAACTATGGGATTAAGGTCTTTTCTCTCAACTTTGTATGTTTATTTTATAACATTTTTGCTGTGAAGAAGAGGCACATGATCTCTGCAGGCACAAATTCAAAGTTCTTAGAACTGTAAATCCAAGCATCTGTGATAATATCTTCTAGATATTAAAAATTTCCCAGTAATCTTTCAGAAATCTCTGCAAGAGCATGACATTGTGAATGGATTAATGGAATTCATTTACCAAAACAGTTAAACATTGCATGAATGTTCATCCTCATGCTACACAGTTAAAAACTAATCCGTATTTCATGATAAATAACCTTTGGAACATAATGTATCTTAAATAGAAAACTATCTTTAGATAAAATTTTCCCCAAAAAGCATTTTATTTTATAAAATCCAATTTCAATTGTAAAAATCTGGTTTTTTATTTTAAAAAATATTTTTATCCACCCTGTCTGTACCTCAGTTTTCACTGCTAGAAAATTGTGTAGCTAAAAATGTCCTCATTTCGTTCCCCATCGCAATTCCCAATAAATATTTGTACTAGTTAGTTGGCAGAATCACAAAATCACTGTATAACTTTTTGTGATAAGCGCTTGATATGACAGAAAACTGGGCAGATACCAAACACCTTTCAAATTGTAGAATTATTATTGGAATGTTCAGCTGTGGCACTTGGGGCACTAAAATATGTCTAGAGTTCAGAATAAGATGATCTGTGAGAAGCTAGAACGTCCCTGTAAAATCCCTTTAGAATCAGCTTGTGCTTTGGGAAAAGGTGATGGGGTCTTATTTTCTGTAAGCTCTTTTCAGATATAGTTGTTATTTTTCAAGCATCTAAAATGCAATTACAACCTTTTAAAAGAAATGATGTTGCTGGTCACTTTTATTACTAACTTTTGTATTATCTGTTCTAGCTGTTCAGGGAAGTAAGAATAATGAAGATTTTAAATCATCCCAATATAGGTAAAGCACATTGTTTTCTATATATATTGTGTCTGTTAAGGATATTGAACTGTGTTTTTAATAATATGTAAATATGTGTATGTTTTATTATTTGAGCCAATGTAATTACATGTTAACACATTGGGTGTTGCTCTAAATTTGTATTTTGATCTGCTCTCGATGATGTGTAAATTTTAAGAAATTAAATGCTTTCCCTGGAGTCCTAATAGGTGCAGAAAACAGGACAGCAGCAGCATCTCCTATGTTTGCTTCTGGAGTTCCTGACTTGCCTTAACATTTCACAAGCAGTTTGCCATTTTCAATTTTAAACAAGACAAAGTCCAAAAGGTCTGCTGGACAGATGGATTCAGTCACATTGGTGTTTTGAATCTGAAAGCTGCCCTCAATCCGTGCCTGTCCATTGTTGTTTTGCTGTAAGGCAAAATAATGCACCCATCATTTTTACCCTCTGAATATAGCTCACCACAGCCAGACAGCATGAATTCCAAGTTAGCTCCTGATAGTTCAAGTAAGTTGCTTTCAAAAGGACAGCACTGTTGTTAAGAAGAATGTTTCATATTGTCCATTACTATGGGTAAGACAAGTTTATCATTTCTCTCAGAGGAAATTGAACATGCTTGCTCTGGCTGACATTCCAGCTGTCTTGTAGTAGATCGTGTTGAAGAGGGACATTCAATTTCTGTGTGGTATTATTTGTAATTGTGGCAGGTACTCTGCAAGGTGTAGGGAAACTGTGGCCAGGTGAAGAATAGAAGGCCCTGAAGTTTGGCCTGCTGACTTTTCCTCCAAGGCCTCATCCCTCTTCTTCAGTTCTGGCTCATCCTCACTCTGTTTACTGCTGCCTGCTGCCACTTGGCCTGCATCCCTTGTGGGACTCTGCATTCCAATTTTACTGACCACGTCCACTCAGGAGGAAGTGGAGCTCAAGCACTCTCCATGTATGATAATCCTCAAAAGGATTTAGGCATTCATTGATGTGCTTGGGCTCCAGTCATAAAACAGCTCTCAATTTGCACCCCATACACTAATTTTCTGACTGAGGCAATCCCTGTACAAGCCTTCCTTTAGGAAGGGGTGATTAGCAGGTAAAATTAGAAATATGAGAGAGAGAAAGCAGATGAGAATGAACAAGAAAACATATGGCGCAACAGTGGCTGGGACAGAGAACAAGAGGAGACCTGCAGGATAGATGGAAGGCGTACATGTGCATGGATGGTGGAGTGTTGGATCACTGCCTATGAGGGACTGTGACTCATGGGCTGAAAAAGCTTCCCCTCATCTACGGGGGCAAACTATCTCTGGGTTATCCTTCAAGTTTATTATTTATTTCATTTCTATGTCATCCCTTAGTTTCTTTGGGCAGTTTACAAATACAAGTTTTAAGTTCTTTTATCCGTTCTTGTAGGACATGCAGTCTTCCAAGTATTGTTGGACTACAGTTTTCACTAGTGCTATGCAGTGTAGCCAGTGAAGAGGGCTGATGGTGGTTTTAGTTCTGCAGCATCTGGAAGAAACATGTTCTCCATTGCAGTCATAAGAATTAAGGATGGGGATAGTGAGAGCTCACAGAGATTTGTCCTGTTTCTCAGTCAGGTCTCCTTGTTTAAAATATTGCATGTCTTCTAAATAAGAGATTCAGCTATTTCCTGACTCATCAGTTCTTAATCTCCAGACTCAACTCAGGTTTCTCTGTCAGCCTTGACATAATCCTCAATAGCTCCATCACACTTACTATGAAAATTCAAGTCCACTTGAAATTAAGCTCACTATGAAAATAAGCTACAGTTGATCACTGTCATTTATAGTGATGGCTCCTGGGTGTGCTGACTTGTATAATTGAACATTCTTGATAGAAACATTTGGTCTAATGTATTGTTAAAACTTTTTAGCATTTGGAGAGTTTACACAGTGTCAAGCAGCATCTTGCATGTGCTGAATTTAAAATGCAAGTGAATATGACCTTTCATATGCAATTGAGTTATGTCATCTGGAACTAGGATTGAAAGTTGTTACCATTCACCATTACTTCCAATTAAAGTTGCTTATTTTCTGCTGTGCATATTTCAATTGTATTTATGCGTTTTAGGGATACTGACATTTAGGGAGAGAACAAAGTAAGAGGTTAGCTAGTTTTCAGCTGCCAGGAAATAATAGTGTAAATCAGAATCCAATCCGCATTGATTACATGAAGCTTCTCAGGGATTTTTAGGAATATAAAAACAGTTTGTAAGAGACCTAGTTTCTTAAGAAAGTTCCACTGTCCCCACAACTTTTTTTCCTTTGGGAAGTATAATTATTGTATGACTTTGAACTGCCTGATTGTTACTGCTTTTACTTGTGTGTAGATAAATGGAAACTAATCAAACCCATTTTAAAAAATAGTAGTAACTCAATTTTTGCTGATTTTTGGTTTGTGATTAAACCATAATGTGTGGGTTTTAGAAAACAATGGCATGCTGACTGATCAAGGTAGGACATTCTTCGTGAACTCAGTGTATTCACACATATGGTCTCTGTGCTGCATGGAGTCTGTTGTCAGGAAGATTATATGGCTAAGCATTAGCTTGTGTGGGAGCTCCTCTCCTACATAGAAACATAGCAAGTCAGAAGGGGTCTCCCAGGCCATCAACTCTGACCCCTGGCTCCTGCTAGCTCTGCTCATTTAGTCCCCAACATGTGGTTGTCCAATCTTTCCTTGAACACTCTCACTGATGAGGCCTCAACCACCTCCATTGGAAGCTCATTCCATATCTTAGGGGTCCTAACTGTCAGGCAGTACTTGCTGACATCCAGCCTGAAGTCAGGAAGTCAGTACTGACATCCAGTACTTCCTGACATTCACTCAGCTTTGTCCCATTGGAATGCGTCCTGCCCTCCACTGCAGGGAAGAACAGATCAGAGCCCTCCTCTACATGACATTCCCTCACATACCTATAAGTTGCTAAAAAAGCCCCTCGGTGTCTTCTGCACACTGGAAAGACCCAGTTCTCTCAATCTCTCCTCATATGTAATCCCTCTCAACCTGGCTACCATTTTTGTGACCCTGCACTGAAATGATTCTAACCTAGCTATGTCTCCTATAATGTGGAGCCTAGAACTGGATGCACTACTCCAGCTATGGGTACACCAGAATTGTGTGGAGTAATATCAACACCTCCCTAGATCTGCAAGCCAAGGTTCTGGCTGTGCATCCAAGGGTCGTGTTTGCCTTCTTAACCACTGCATCACACTGCTGACTCATATTCAGCCTGCTGTCGACAAGTATCCCAAGATCCCTTTTGCAAGCACTGCTCTCCAGCCACTTGTCCCCGCTCCTGTACCTGTGACACGTATTCCTGTGGGGGAGTGGGGATAACAAAGGATCAGAGCAAGGAGTGAGGGGGAAGTGGACAGGACAAGACATAGTCTACCACAAATGATGCTGAGAGGGGTAGTAGCAACAGAAGAATCAAGCCACGGAGCTTGGGTGCACTGTGAGTGCACAAACAAACCATGTTGTGTGTGTTTGCAGGTTGGCTCAGTAATACGCAAACATGACCAGTTCCGAGAATGTAAGTGACACTCAACCCTTGCATTGAATATGAGCTGTTGTCATTTGGTGGATTGTTGTTGAAACATGAGCTATGTTGTCAGAGCACAGCCACGCTAAGCATACTTTGATAATCATGAACACATCACAGTAACAGAGCATGGGTTTCTCCTCATGGGTTGCTAGTGGTTCACAAACCATGGTTTGCTAGTACAGCTGAGGTCAGATAACACGATAACCATGTTTCAACGACAGTTCAAAGTTCAATGCCTTTCTGTGGTCCTCCCTTGTATGTGAGTTATTGTGTTGTCTGAATCAACTATAGTTGATTAAGCACTTCCCAATACTCAGGGGGTAGTATATTGCATAGGTAGGTTTGTTGTAGGAAGGTTTTGTTTTTTATTGAGAATGTTCAGTTTGATCAGGAATTGAACTGCAGTTTTAGTAATCAGAACTAGATGTAGCTATGCTAACCTGTCAAGGGAAATAAAGATACACAAATGAGAGTTGGCTGTAGTATAATGTCAAAAGGTCATGTACTCATTTCAGTAAATCTCTTCCAGCAGCACTACTTTATTCAACAGAATCTATAAATATCCATCACATTAGTATCTAAGCACAGATTGTACTCTTAACATGAATAATTTAATGGTGTGTGTGTTGTGTGAAGCTAAACAATTTTCCTTTTCCTTCCATGGCTTCTGTTGATTTGGAATGTCTTTAGGTAGATAATAGGGGCAGCAGATTTCTATGGAAAGTGTTAGGTTTAAAAGTAACAGCTACGATTAAATAGCACTGCATGCTGCTTTTACCTTCCCCAACCTCATGCCCTCCAGATGTTTAGAACAACACCCAACTCTTCCAGCCAGCATGGCTGATGGTCAGGAATATTGAGTGTTGTAGTCTAAAGCATTTGGAAGGTACCATTTTTGGGAGGGCTGCTTTATGGATTCTTTTCTGATTATCTCCTATACATGCACATATGCACACAAACCTAGCTCTACTGCTAAGGTTTGGATCACTGCGATGCTATTATTGTATAAGAAGTAACCATGTGTTGAGATCAGATAACATGTCCATCTAGCACAGTACTGTCAGCAGTTTTCCATAGTCTGTTGTCCTCCAGATCATTTTATTTATTTTTATTTAAAAGCTTTATATCCCATCTGCTACCGAGGTCTTGGGAAGGTCTTACAATAAACAGGGTGGAGCACAGCATCCAAATTAATTGCTGCACCATAAAACCCCACATTAAAATCACACTCAAACCTTAAAATACTAAGGAAACCTTAAAATACCAGGGACAGGTCAGGGTTGAGGAGCACTCCCAAACTGCACACCCTGACCTTTAGGGGGAGTGCAACCCCATCCAGAACAGGGCTAAAATCACTTACCTGGAAGGCTGAACCACTAACCAGCAGGATCTCTGTCTTGTCTGGACTAAGTCTCAGTTTATTGGCCCTCATCCAACCCATCACCTTGACCAGACACCAGTTAAGGACCGGCACTGCCTCACCTGGATTAGATGTAAAAGAGAGGTAGAGCTGAGTGTCATCAGTGCACCGATGACTCTGCAGTCCAAACCCCCAGATGACTTTTCCCAGCAGTTTCATGTAGATGTTAAAGAGCATGGGGGATAAAATGGAACCCTGCAGAACTCCACGGCAAAGCTGCCGTGCTGCAGAGCCCAATCCCCCAGCACCACCTTCTGGAATTGGCCAGTCAAGTAGGAGTGGAACCACTGCAAAGCAGTGACTCAGCCAACCTATCCAGAAGGACACCATGGTTGCTGTTATCGAAAGCTGCTGAGAGGTCCAGGAGAACGAACAAGGATGCACTCCCCCATCCCTCTCCCTACATGGGCCATAGTATAGGGTGACTAAGGCATTTTCTGTCCCATAGCCAGGCCTGAAACCAGACTGGAATGGGTCTAGATCAGGGGTCGGCAACCTTTAACACTCAAAGAGCCATTTGGACCCATTTCCCACACAAAAGAAAACACCGGGAGCCGCAAAACCCTTTTGACATCTAAAATGAAGATAACACTGCATATATCATTTTTTACCTTAATGCTATGTATATCTTTCATTATTATTATTATTATTATTATTATTATTATAACATTTCTATGCCGCCCCTTGCCGAAACCTCGGGGCGGCTTACAAATCATTATCTTCATTATGATTTAGCTGCAGCTCTTGTTCAGTCACTAAAAACTGTTATTTTTACATTACATTATAAACTAGTAGGACTCCTTTCATATATTTTGAATAGAACAGCTTCCTGAAGAGTCAAAGCCAGTGCTAAAGGACTGCATGCATTAAACAACAAACCCCATAAGTTCATCAGCAGTAAAAGCAAATGAATCTACCCAAGTATCAGTAAACGTTTGGTTTTCTTCAGAAACTTTTCTTCAATTTATCCATGGTTGGCCTACTGGGGGTGTGGGGGGGGGAGCTCAGTAAATCTGCATGGGTCTGCAGATCAGCTGCTGTACCACCAGTGATATAGGTGTGTTTAGTGACTGATTAGCAGATAAACAGTCAAGTGCTGTGACAGGTCCAAAGCATAGCTTTTAACATTCAGATGAAGGAGATTACATTGGGACAAAGAGAATCTTTTTAGCAGCGTTTCGTGTAACATGAGAGCCTGCAGGAAGCTTGTTTAGCAGAGGAATGTAGCGATTTACTTAACTAGCTGATTTACTTAACTAGCTAGCGCTGCGTTCCTGAGTGGAGCTTTGAGTTTTAAGCGACGGAGCCTCAGCAGAAGGGTTCATGAGCCACGTGCGGCTCCGGAGCTGCGGGTTGCCGACCCCTGATCTAGATGGTCAGTTTCATCCAAGAGAGCCTGGAGTTGTCCAGCCATTACCCGCTTGAGTACCTTGCCTAAGAACGGGATGTTAGCCACAGGTCTATAGTTGGTGGCCATCTCTGGGTCCAGGTTTGTCCTCTTCAGAATGGGTGTGATCACTGCCTCCTTCAAGGGGACCGGGATCCAACCCTCCCTCTGAGAGGCATTGACAACTTCCTGGACCCAGATATACATCCAATCCTTGGCTTTGATGAGTAGCCATGAAGGGCAAGGGTTGAATAAACAGGTGGTGGGTTGGACTAGTCCAAGCATCTTGTCCACATCCTCAGGCCACAGCAATTGAAATTCATCTGATAAAGATGGACCAGACAGATGTGAGGGCAATCTGACTGCAACATCTGTCACCCCATTGATCGCCAGGGTTGATTCGGCTGATCTGGCTGGCTAGGCAGGTATCCCCTTCCTCCCTCACCACTCCATGTGCTTCCCTAACGAAGCTGGGCGCTCAGTGGAAGAGGACGACCATTCCAGATAGGAGTGTACCATTCTTCGGTCAAGGGTATATGATAGCTGCGCTCCCCTGCTAGAACCTCCATACAAGCTCTCAAGGTCCATTTGTAGGAGACCATTGGGTAGTCAAGCTTCCAAGACTCCAGACACATCAAAGTGAGGCACTGCACATGGCAGTTTGCCATTCATTAAAAAAAAGACGGACCAGACGGCACTCTGGACACTTCCCGCTCTGGGACTACGTCAGCTGTGGATTCCAGATTGTGACAAACCTGAGTGATTTTATCCCTGAAGTGCTGGGCAAATTCATCACAGCGAGCCACTGATGGTGTGATAGGGTTATTTTTTGGCCCAGACTGTAGCAGGTCCTGCACCACCTGGAAAAGCTCAGCTGGACGACACTGTGAGGATGCAATGGAATCAGAAGAATTCCTTCTTTGCCTCACTCACAGCCACAGCATAGGCTCAATAATCTGCTCTACGAAGTGTTCAGTCAGATTTGGCATGGGATTTCCTCCACATACTCTAGTCATCTCCCAGCCTGCTTTATCGCCCACAGCTCAGGCATGTACCAAGGCGCTGCACAGGCTCTGCATGGCAGGAGAGGGTGCTTGGAGCGATCATGCTGATTGCCCGGGTCATTTCTCCATTCCACAAATCAATCACGTCGTCGACAGGAGCACCAGTTCTAGCAACTGGAAAGTCCCCCAGAGCCCTCAGGAATTCATCCGGAGCCATAAGAATCCAGAGGCGGACCATTTTAATAGGATCTTCCCCCTTATGGAGGGAAAAGTTGGCCCCAAGTTTAAACCTCACAAGGATCACAGAGGACTTTTAGATCATAGCCCCCATCATTTATGACCATGAATGATGCTAGGTATGGTTGATGGAAGTTGAAATCCCCAAAATCTAGAGGGCATGATTTTGGGAAAGGCTGTGACTTTCAGCGTTTTACTGCTGCATACAGTTTTTTAAAACCTCAGATGCTGGGGATTGAATATGGGACATTACAGTACAGTATAGGCTATCTACTACTGAACCTCTGCCTTCTCTTGTGTTACATTTTCTTTAACTTCTCTTTCCAAGTTACTGATTAAAGCTTTTCTTTTTTCATTTTTTCTAATAAGAATTTATAGCTGACTCTAAACTAAACAGTTTTCTAATATTCTTTAATAGGAGAACTTGTTCATGAGTGATTATCACAAAGCATTATTTTTAACATGTAAATAAAACTTTTATTAGGAACAATGAAATCATAAGCTTTCTTAATTAGAATGGCAAACTCAGAGTAATCTTGGGTATATGTTGGTTTTAGCCAGGAAGAGCATGCAGAGTGCTGGATTACAATAAAAACTTTTAGTTCTTGTAGCTTATTACCTAATGTTTTGCAAAATATTCCTTGTATATTTGATTATCTTCAGTTCTTAAATGCCATAAAGTATAATAAGTGTTTATTTAATAGAGTGTTAAATAAGCTCCTGTAGATGGTCATGAAATAACAGGATGACTTCATTTGGGTTTTTCTGCATTAATCTTTAATTTGTGCTTCTAGAAACAGAGTGTTGTCAGTTTCCTAAAACATAATTGATGCTTCCTGAAACCACTTAGAGGATCCTGCCTCATTGATTCTGTAAGTGGTTTCAGCACTGCAGTATTACAGTCTGCATAACCAAATATATAACAAATAGTTATTGCAGTTGTCCCAAGAGCTCACCTTAGGTTAACATCCAGTGGGACTTTTGACTTTTTTGAGGGGGACAGGTACACTCATTCCAAGTTGGAAGCCACTTGTGAGATTTCCACCATGTTTTTAATGTGTTTTTTCTAATTGACTGGGCCTCTGTTCTTTTTGGGGAGGGGAATTGAAAAGCCTTCTTGTGTACTACAGAGCTAGGCACACAGATGTTTGGTTTAAGGAGGGGCTGTGATTCATTAGTGGAGAATGCACCCGCTTGTAATGTTTTGCAGTACTTGCATGTGGCCGGTGAGGTCCTTATTTAAAATAATGCATTTTATAAATGCTTACTTTGCCTCCTCACAGTATTTGTGGTGATGATTTGAAACATCAAATATTAAAACTAAATCTAGAGATAAATACTGGCTATGTTAGATGTAGCTGTTCTCTTCTTGTTCTTCCAGTTAAATTATTTGAAGTAATTGAAACTGAAAAAACACTCTACTTAATCATGGAGTATGCAAGTGGAGGTAAGTACAAGTATTTTGCAAACATTCTTTATCAAGAGACAGTTCAGATAAATTGTTTATTGGAAGAAGTATTAAGCTTTCAAAATAACTGCTCTTTCCCCATTATAAATGGAAGGGCATTTAACAGTTTTTATCCCTGAAATATCTCACCTTTCCTTCTTGCACTGGTTTGTGTATATCTTTCTAGCTATACTTTATTTTGTCACAGAAAACTCAAAAAGGCTGCAATCATCTGTAGTCTAAAGGGTACTGTAGTCCAGATTTTGAAAGCCAGATTTGATTTAAACATCTTTCAAGTACAACATGCTTAGGAAAACAATAGAAATATAGTTTCATATAATTTATATTAATGCAGAGTCTAAGACTTTAGGATGCTTTGATTTTAAATCAAGGTGATTAAAATCAGTGAAGGGAAAAAAGGCAAATTTAAATCAAGTTTCCCATTGCTCTTCATGTATTTCCTAAACTCATTGTAACTGTTAAACCATGTTAATTTGCATCCAAATAGAATTTTACTCATTTCATTCTTTGTTGCATTGTATTCATTTTGCATGCTTTTCTTTTTTAAATGTCTTCAAAATATAGGATCCCCCTTATGACCAGCAGCCTTTACAATTCCTGAGGTCAAGTATAGGAACATGGGAACCTCCTCACTAGGCAGTTTTGTCTCTTTTTATTTTCACTCTGCCTTGCCCCATCTCTACCCTCATAAAACCAAGTAGCAAGCTAAATGAAATGCCCATGAGTCAGGTTGAAACAGGGTCTGGTTGTTACTGGATCGAGTCAAACAATTCATTTCCATGTGGAAAAATAAAATGTTTATGTTTAGCAGGCAGAGCATAAATATTCATATTTAATAAATGAATAAGTTGGGTCTTCATTTAAATATGACCCCTACATATGTGATCTGACTTGCATACAAATTTGACTTAAAGAAGTTCTCAGGAACAGAACTCATTCATAATCCAGGGACTGCCTTTATTCGGATTATTTAATGTTAGCCAAGTTATTATTTAAGAGAATCAGAAAGTTTGCAGTTGTATGTCAGTGAATTGCTCAATCTACTTACTGTTTTGATATCTTAACCTTCTTTGCTCTAGATTCTGGTTTTCAGAGTAAGGTTAATTCTTTGATACTGTATTTTATAAATGTGAGTGTGCTTCATTGTCACTCTGATTGCTCTGCAGGTTGAAGTGGAAGTACTTCAGATGTGACTTTATGGCCATTCTGAACCTTACTTCAACTCTCCCATTTCTGAACAAAAGCACAGACAATGCACTGTTCCATGTAGAAGCTGTTTCTAGAAGTTTCTTTGTTTCATAGATGAGCTCTGCTTAGAGAGCGGAGCCTTTGATATTTGTTTAAAATAACTCTGAATTGTTTTCTTATAATTTAGAAAATGCATTTTCTGAAAAGAGAATGCATACACACAAACCTGAGCTTTATTCATTTCATGCACTCACTTTACCAAATGCAGATTTATTTGTTTCATTATTTTTTCCAGCAATTATTTCATGTCCCTTTACTTTTCCTGTACGGGTATAAAGTAGATGCTGGCACTTTTAAAACCTCCAGGAGGGAATCACAAACATTTAAGGAAAGGTATAATGTAGAGCAATGATGCAGTACTTGTGACCTACCAAGCCATATGCAACTGTCTAGCTGAATGTTGTGTCCTTCAAGGGGCTTGGCAGTTCTGCTATTGCTACAGTCCCTAGCAGATAGCAAAAAGGAAGATTCCTCCCAGACCTGAAATATAGCAAGAAAGGGTTTTGGGCAGCATTTCCTTGTTAGCTTGTTGAAAGCAGTCCTTCAGGCCATTGGAAGTAGAGGCAATCCCAGATCTTTGGCATTTCAAGCCAAATTCCTACAATCTCTCTCATTGTTAACTTTTAGCACTGGCAAGGAACCATGTAGTGAATAGTAGGGGTTTACAAACTCACTTGTTTGATGAAATTAGAGGCAGTGGTCTTAGTAGGAACAAAGGGCAATACAAAAACATTTAAGGATGCCATGAGGACCCACCTTTGGCAGCCAGAATACTGGCTGAAGTCCAGCAATTTAAACAAATAACTAAGAATAAGTTTAAAGTGTTGGTGCTGATCTTTAAAGCCCTTCGTAACCCTGGACAAGCTTACCCCAGCATCCACTTCTGCCCACTTGAAACAGCTTGAGCCTTAGTGGTGCACTGGAAGCAGGATAGACAGGTACGGGACACCTACTTCCTCACAGTAGAGCAAAATTGTTCTGCATGCCTAGAGAGATTGGTTAGGCCTACCTGTCTTCCCAGTTTTAGGGGGTGGGTTATTTATCCTAAAGCAGCCCTTCAGATGTTTTCAACTACAGTGATTAGCATTTCTATTATGTTGTCTGAGGCTGATGGGAGTTGATACCTGGAGGGCATCATGTCAGGAAAGGCTTCCCTAAAACAACAAAGTGACTTTGTCACTGTAAAAATAAGCATTGCTTTAAAAAGAAAAAATTCTTCTAAATTTCTGTTCTTTCCCCCTGAAACCTCCCAGAAAAAGAGAAGTATGTTTTCCCCTATGGCTTCAACATTTCCAGAAATTTTAAATCTCTAGTCATGCTTTATTTAGCTGCTCTTGTTTCTTGAAAGCTCTGGCCTTTCCATTTCCCTTAAGTATCAGATGTGCAAAGACACATGCTAGATAGGATTTTTGTTCTTCTGAGTTTATCTGCTAGTGGAGTTGGCCTAAACAAACCTAATTAAAACAGAAAAGCAATTTAAAGGAAGATAGATTAAAAAACTTTAAAAGTGCACAAACAAAATAAATTGAATGCTTTTCTGCCCAGTAACCATCAAACCTTGGTTTTACCTATCATTAATGGGCTTTTCATTTTTGTTTTCTACACTTTTTGGGTGGGGGTAAGCCTAGGCCAAGATGAGGTGAGGCAGCAATAAGCTGTAGAAAGAAAAAGACAAAATTGTTCACATGCATCTTCCTGTATTCAAATGCTAAGTCTGCAATTTTGTACACACTTACCTGTTGAACTTGATGGAACTTATTTCTGAATAGACATGCTGTGCTATTAACCTCAATCTATTATGGGTGCTTGCCATAAGAAAGGGGAATGTTTTAAAGGTATGTCTTCTAAAGGTTAAAAAGTATTTGAAATATATATTGAGACAAAGAAATAGAAAGCCTGCTTGTAGAAATGAGAGAGTGTAAAATTTACTCTTTAATCTTTGATTTAGTTGTTAATTAAACCAGCACTGTTCAGGAAATAATGTGAAAAGCTTTCAACTTGATTTAAATAAGCAGTGGGTAGAGCAATCCTATGACCCCTAGGCAGCATTTAGAAGGCCATAGGATTTTTCAACTTCTCGTTTACAAGGTTAGAAAAGAGTTCCAACTTAGGATCTAAAGATCTGTACCCTGATCTCCCTGCTCCCTTCATCAGCACAGAAAGAACCATGCCGGCTGCTTCTTCAAGGTCATAACTATGGGAAGGGAAGAGGACAGCACTGCCAATGTACAAGGTACCTTGGCACTGCCTTGGCCTCCTTCTTTTCCCTTCTGGAGTGCTGCAGTTAGTCAGCCCAAATTGGCTCTCCAGCTTCTCTGCAGAGCAGGAGGAGCACAAATGTGACCTTTCCTTCTGCACTGCTCCTCCAAGTTAAGAGAGCAACAGGCATCCTTGGATTGCATCTTGAGCCACCTTAATTGAATCAATATTCCCTGTTTGAGTAAATAGAGTTACTTTGCAGAAAAATGAAGTATCACAGTGCCTTCTCTAAAGATGAATGCAGTCTAATTTACCTAAAACAGAACTACATTATTCTGTAGAGCCTAGAATCTATTACAAAGAGATGTTTCCATAAATGGTTTTATGAGCTGGTTGTATGCCAGAGTACACCCAGTTTCCCATCTCTCCCCAACCCACCTAATTCACACAATCTTTGGATTATGGCCACCAAAATTACATAAAGAGATTAAAGTAGCAGTGCAAGGGTATATATTCTGCTAGCACTGTGGGAGTTTGGGTGAGTGGAAACATTTTAGTGTACATCCACTAAACTTATCACATCATTGCCATGAGGCAAGTAAAATCATCCAGGAGTGACATTAAAACCAGCTTGAATAATGAGTTGACAAGGAGCTGCTGCTGACATCACTGCATCCAGCTCTTGAGGATTCCCTGTCTTGGACTTTCCATCTTAGAATGAATCTCTTAATTCTGTCTATGTTATTTTTAAGTGACTCTGGTTAACTTATTAATTGAAGCAAGCCATCTAAATCTTTTATTTAGGAACAATGCTTTTAAAATATTTAAATACATTCATACAAATCTTTAGGCAATGGATAGGTGCTTTTTGTTAACAGCCATTTAATTTTTGCTGGCCATATGATGAAAATTTTGAAACTCAGCTGTGTTAGTCTAGTAATTATCTTTGTATGGTTCACTGACATATAGATGATAGTGAACAAATGACTGTTAGTGTGTTTGGTTCTCATAGTGCCTGTTTTGCCAAAACAGCAGTGCCTGTGCATAAGAGAGGAACAAACAGCAGACCCAAGTGAGGGAGGGACTCTAAACAACTGAATGAACAGTGAGCATGCTCAGCAGGCACAGAACGCTGCCTGACTAGAGGTGTGGGCATGGGAATGGAACTGCATATCCTGGAATCATGGGCCATGTGTTAATACCAGCTGTTCTGAGTAGAAGGCCTCTCACATGACCAGTCTTCTCCCCTACTAGCTCTTGCATCCCTCCCTGCCATACTTCTCGCCAGAGGGCAGGGAGCATTCTTGAACAGTGAGGGTTGTGCAGTACAGGGTGCAGAACAAAAGGCTAATTGCGCCCAATCAGGCTGCAGTAATGTTTCCCATTATGCTGATAAAATATTTTAGTGGTGAGAAATACTTTTAATGACTGTTGCATCAAACAGACAAATTCTTAAGGTTTATATACCTTCCGTATGTTTCTGGTCAGAAATCTTTTTTATGCTCACTTTATCTTTCATACATCTTAATTACAGGGGAGGTATTTGACTATCTAGTTGCACATGGACGAATGAAGGAAAAGGAGGCAAGAGCTAAATTTAGACAGGTATGTATGGTCTCCTTTAGACTTTTAGATACTACATTTTTCAAGACTTTAAGCAGACAGTAGTTGCTCTCCATCCTGCAAGTGGGAATTGATAGTGGGAAATGCTGACAGAATTGGTCCAGCCAACCTGGTTGCAGCACACACATTCTCATGGTATAGCCATGTGAGATATTGCTGCAGAGAATTGGCTCTTACATAATTCCATGCATATTAGCCATAGGCCTTTGACATTAGTGTAGTGCACAATAGGATTAAGGGACTAAGTATTAGTACCAGCCCTGTTTTGAAGAGGAAGCATAAGCCCTAGCTTTGCTAGTTTGGCTATAAGGCAGACTATGGCTTACATTAATCAGAGCATCGGAACAGGAGAGGAAGTGTGAAGCTCATTCTTGTAAAGCCACAAAACATGCTTTGGTACAATTTCTAAACTGAGCCATTGGGGGGAAAAGACTGGAATGGAATAAAGAATTATGAGTTGGAAACCACTAAATGAAAACAGCTGCTTTAAAATGTATTTTATTATGAAATAATAAAAGTTAAATCCAAAGATAAAGGTGATCAAAACAGGTACCACCTTTTGTTAAAACAGGTTCTATATAATCTTACATGGCCACAGTTATTATTCTAATAAAGAAGAAAGCTATTCCATTTATGCCCAGTGGTGATTACGTGCACATTTCCCACATATTGCATAGCACTCGGGCAGCATATTCATTTTTGCTATTCTTGCAGCCTTCCAATATCCAGCCCCAAGGATTTTGGCAGTAATTAATATACTCATAGTCAGTAAATTATGTGAACAAGTAATGTCTGTATCAATAACATTAAGCAATGCTAGCAAAATCAAATTCTTGCCCACAGCCTGAGAGATGGTCCTTGAAATTTGCTGCCAAACTATGGTTGGGTGTTAGATCAAAACTGAACCATTATTTTTAAATTAAGGCTGCAATGAAATAAAGGATTATGGATTGGACTGCTCAGTTGTGGCACAACCTGCATTTGATTTGAATTCCTTCTGTTTCAAGTTACAAATCTTAATTTCTTTTTCTTTCGTGCACTCCCTGCTAAGGATGTGTGATACTGAGAAGCCCACTGTTTAAGGCTAATGGGATTTTGCAGTGCTTCTGTTCCAATATGCTGCAACAGAATGTAGCACATTTTTTCCTTGATTCCAAAAATGTTCATACATATTTGTACATTTTTCCCTTTCAGACTTTAAATTTGCTCAAATCAGGTTGTATTTTTTTAAAAAAGTTATTGCTCGTCTTTTGCAAACCCACCTATCCACTGTGTATTCCTTTGAAAGTTTCATCTTCTCCACAGACTGTTTCTTTTAGTTCAGCAAAGTCATACTCCGTACTTGTCTTATCCTTCTCACTGCTCTAAGAAAGTGCTTTCAGAGGAGGCATGCTGATAACATGAATCAGGCTGCCTTTAAACAAAAAGCCATTAGCTAGCAAGGGATATGCCAAAATGCACCATGCATTTGCAAAATGAAATTGGAATTGGCAGTTTCTTTGGTAAGTGCAGAATATGTCTTTGCTGGCCTCAAGTTATTGACCTGATTCATGAAAGATGGCAGCAAGGCATGGGGGCTGTTGTGTCATCCACACCCAGCGCAGTTTACCAGTGGTGGTGTATATTTTTCAGAGCACTGTGAGAAGCCACAGAGTGTCTCAGAGGTTGTTTCACCCATGCTGTGTTTTATGTCATCCAAACCCTGACTACTTCCGTCATGGGTAAATGTCAATGGCCAGTGAATAGTGACAAAAAATACTTTGCTGCTCTTCCTGTTCTCACCCTGGGCTCTGCCAGCTGCCTTCAAATATCCAAGCAGCATGGTGGGGCAGTCGCTTTTTGTGAATGTGCAATTCCAGCTAATTTTTAAATGAGCTAACAAAATCATTTGCACGCATTTTTAAAATGGTAGTGAACCACTGACAGCCCTTTCAGTGTGCCATTTTGTTGTATTATTGTATTTTTGTGCTCTTGTAAACTGCCCAGAGGACTTTGGCTATTGGGTGGTAGAGAAATGAAATAAGCAGTAGAATAGGCATGTTCATGGTAAATGCAAAATAGCTACAGAATTGTCCTTCAAAACAAGAAATAATTGTGAAATGATCCATGGTACTGGATATGCCATTATTTGCTGCTACTACCCATGATAATTGAGCATCTGGCAGCCCATATTCTACCATGTAAACATGTATAATTAATTTAATTAATTTAATCTTATCATATTTAATCTAGGAATTAATTGAATCTTAGGTCATAACCTCCTGGCTACAGGAGCAGACTATAGGATCACATCCTGGGTTAAGCACCATCTGTGTCAGCACAATGGTCTCAAGCACTGGGGATTCGTTCACTAGATTAGAGTGGGACAAGAGCCCAGTTCTGTGGTTGAGCATTCAGGAGTGCCACATTTGTGCTGTCTTCACTTTCCCAGAGAGTGTTCAAAGCTGGAAAAATATAAAGGATATGTATTAGCATAAGGTTTTGGCTTGTTACAAATTGTCTGACTGACAGTGTTCTTTGCCACACAGAGAACCCAGAATAATCTGCTTGAAGGCTAACAGGGATCTTAAGAAGCTTGTCTTCAGTTGCTGCTTTTGACAACTGGCTCTTACCCTAGATGCACTTATTTGAATAATTATTACTGTCTGTGATGAGAGTTTCCCCACAGTTTAGGCTTTTAGCTTTCATAATTATGTTCTTAACATGGATATTATACTGATTTTATACCTGGTTTCCCAATTTTAACTACGACTGTTACATTGTATGACTGAGGGTGCAATCCTAGTTCTGCTTAGAGAGGAAAAAGGGTCCTAATATCCAGCATTCTTCAGCCAGCTTGTTGCAGGATTTTTTCTGTCTAAACATAGATAGAATTGAATTACACCCTAAGTATGTTGCTTTGTTGTGTGGCACCTTATATAATTGAGCCTGTTTTCTTTCCAGATAGTATCTGCAGTGCAGTATTGCCACCAAAAGCATATTGTTCACAGAGATCTCAAGGTAAGAAGCAAAGCCCAAGAATTTGTGTGAACATTATTCTTACTAGGATCCTGAATCATTACTAGTTTTTGCTTATCCTTGATAGGAAAAATAAAAGATGAATGTCTGCAGTGAATATGAGCTACTAGTTTGGTTTATTAAGGGTAACACGCCTGCTGAATTCATCACGGCAGGTTGGCATATTAATACAGCTGAGGATATTGTTTGAGAAGCAGGTGTTATAAAGTAGTCCTGTGGAAATGCTTTCCAATTATGAATGGGACTCCATTGCAACAAGTACAGATTTTTCCAGCAGCACAAGAAGATTGCTGAAGCAAAGCAGGAGCAGCATTTCTGCTCATTTCTCACTTTCAGCTTTACATGGGCAGAGAGAATTGTTTGACTCTTATTTATGCCGTTGCTCATTGTCTCTAGGAAGAGCTGCTCTTCACCCAACAGGCTGATACTGTAGATGAAGTCTACAGCAACAGTAACATGCCCACTGACACGTACTTCCTTACACTCACTCCATCTTCTTTTGGGTCTGCAGTATTCTTTGATTTAATGCTCCTCTGGTTCTTGGTGTGTCGCCAGACCAGTTTGTGTGTCACCATATCACTTCTAGGTCCCTTCAAAGGTTGCCTTCATTGTTGCTTTTAATCCTCCACTGGCAAAGGCAGTCCATGCTAGCCCTTCCTCCCCTCCCCTCCCCTCCCCTCCCCTCGTATGTTTGTTCCCTGAACAGAAGGCCTATCTAAGCAATTCCAAGAGTGTGGTATACACCAAACATTTTTGAGACATTTACAGAAAAATAGTTAGAAAACTGCACTGCAGTTAGTGCAACCAAACACACAATCCTATCCAAATTTAGACAAAAGAAAGCCTAGAGCTGCCAGCATGCCTCTGCCTTCTTTCTGTCTAAACATACAGATGATTGCACTTCAAGTAAACCAGTAGACTTTAAGATAGATAGAAGCATGCATGCATGCATACATACATACATATGTACATACAAACATGTGTGTTGGTAGGTGTATATATTTATTTTGCAGTTGTATAATCTTTTGAGATTGCCAGGTAAAGAGTAAGTTTAATGGTTAGTACTACTACAACTTATTAATAGATTGACCTTGAAATGCATCAGATTCAGGAAGCTGTTCATTTCTGGGTGGACAGTCTTATTACATTTTACTATGTCTTTTTCCTTCTAGGCTGAAAACCTATTGCTTGATGCAGACATGAACATTAAAATAGCTGATTTTGGCTTTAGTAATGAGTTTACAGTTGGAAATAAACTGGATACATTTTGTGGCAGCCCTCCATATGCTGCTCCAGAACTCTTCCAAGGCAAGAAGTATGATGGCCCTGAAGTAGACGTCTGGAGTTTAGGTGTCATTCTTTACACTCTTGTGAGTGGTTCTCTGCCTTTTGATGGACAGAATCTAAAGGTATATACCTAATTTTTGTTTAATGGGTAGGGGGAGGATAGATAATAATACATAATATTGGGAGAGCCAGTGTGGTGTAGTGGTTAAGAGCATGGGACTGGGACTCAGAGGATCTGGGTTCTAGTACCCGCTCAGCTATGGAGCCAACTGGGTGACTTTGGGCCAGTCACAGACTCTCAGCCCAACCTACCTCACAGGGTTGTTGCTGTGGGGATACAATGGAAGAGAAGAATAATGTAAGCTGCCTTGAGCCCTTTGTAGGGAAAAGGCAGGGTACAAATTGCAGTATATATATTCATGATGATACTTCCAACAGATCTGCAATTCTTTGTAATTTTTCATTTGTTTCTTGATTTTAATTAAGGAACTGAGGGAGAGAGTGCTGAGAGGCAAATACAGGATTCCTTTTTACATGTCAACAGACTGTGAAAACCTGCTAAAACGTTTCCTGGTGCTAAATCCGACTAAAAGAGGCACTCTTGAGGTGATAATTTTTCTCTTTTTGCTTTGCAAAAAAAAAAAAAAAAAAAGTGCTTTGATTTGCATTGTAAAATTATTTGTGCACAGACTATGATTTTGTCTACCTTGCTAACTCCTGGGGCTTCCCAAATTGTTCTCCCTTGAGAGGAAGAAACAGCATACTTGGGAATTAGCTTGGGAAAAAATATTACCATTATGTGGTGAAATTCTTGTTCCAGATACAAAACATTTCCCCTGCAGTGGTCCTACAGTCGCTTGCCCTAATCCACTCATCCACCACCTACTCTTCAGCTAAACTCCTTCTAGCTTTATGCAAGCATTTCTACAAACACCTAATTGTACATGTTAAGCAACTCATGCTACGATGCAGTTGGACAGAAATCAGTATACAGTACTCATTCATATTAACTGAGGCTGCAGTGAACGCTTTGGAGGTGTCATACTCTACCTAGAGAGGGTTCTTTGTCTTCCTCAATGATTTAAGAGCTACGTATATTCACTACACAAATCTATACAAAGACTTAATCTGGTATTGATACAACTTCATAAACTGGAGCTTTAGCTGCAAACCACATTTGGGGACTTCAGTCTTTTTTGCATCTTGAAGCCCTGCTTTATTTCTCAAACAAGGTGTGGAATAGAAACCCTGTCCTTTAAAACCAGACTTCAACAAATTACAGCTATTTCATTTTAAGTCATTACCTGATTACTGTTGGATTAGAGTCTAGTATGTGCTGTGTGGTTAATATTAAATGAACAATTCTTTTATTGTTTAATTTTCCTCTACTACTACTTTGTTAAACATTTTACACTTTAATTCCAAATGCTTATGTGAGCATTTCCATCTCTCCTTTTATTCTCAGACATTCCGTTGACTGTTTGCTTCACTTCAGTAGAAAGACAAGCTAAACAGCACCCTTCCTTCCCTAATTCATGCAGATAAAGGAGTGACTGCACCTGAAACTTGCAGTGCTGCACACAATTCAAAATGCGCTTTAGGTTATTTTGATTTGAGATGATTGAGAGCAAAAGGTAGTTCATAGAGCCACTCTGGGCTTACCAGAATTCATTTATTATCAGGGGCAGGGACATGTCCCCTTAAAGGAATGTCTGGTTCCTAAGACGCTTACACTGGTTTGAGAATACAAGGGAGGCCACGCTGGATCAGACCAACGGCCCAGCTAATCCAGCATTCTGTTCTCACAGTGGCCAAATGCCTGCAAGTAGGAAATGAGTGCAGTGGCACCCTCCCAGTCATGTTCTCCAGTGGCTGTCTTCAAGGCAATATACAGCTACCATGATAGTTTTATCCTTCATAATAATAAATTTTCTAGCAGAGAGTCTTATTTACTGAAATAAATTAGTATAGCTGGAAGAATGTAGCATGCCACTTAAGAATTTTCCCATTCTCCACAAAAAATTCTGGGTGTAGCTGTGATGAGGAAGTAATGTCTAACAGATTTTGGCGGTTCATGGGTGCATTTCCTATAGGCGAATCATTGGGGCACATGGAGTTTTCCCTTAAGGAATCAGTAAATATGTTTTGTGTTCCTGGGGGTAGGTGTATCCCTTCCATGAACAACCAGCAGCAAAAATGGTGGGGCTGGAGGGGAACATGCACAGTGCCAATATATCCTGTGAGGTATAGTCCAAAGTAGGGACAAATTTGAAGCACCATCCCCACAGGAGCTTGCCCTTCATTAATACCAAACCCTTATTCTTTTGCCTGTGGAGAGGACTTCTACTAGCACACGCACACACACTCACTTTCCATTTCATTGCAGCTGTTGGGACTGCAGAGGCTCTGTCCTTTCCTCCTATGGCTTGTATGCAACTGACACTCTTCCATCCCATCTCATTCCTGGAAGAAAGATAAAAGATTTTGTACATGGCCCATTGTAGAAGCCTCTTGGGCTTATTGCACCTGATGCTGCTCATAATTCTGTCCCTTTCCACCCCCAAGGGCTGATGAATTGGCTTGGATTCCCTACAGGCCCTTATTGGGCAGCAGGGAAAGGAGCAACTCACAGGATCGTGGTGTTCCAGCATAGGTTGAACTGGTTCACAGTATATGTGGTGGTAAAGTCACAAACATCTTAACATTCTTCAGATCATTTAGACAAGGTATTCTCTTAACTGTCACCATTACTGGAACCTAGTATCTATCTCTTGCTGTGACATATTGAATGGGGGAAATGGTATTGACACACATTTCAACTATTCTTACTATCTTTTGTTTTTGGTAAAATAAAGGCAGTGCAATTATGGAAGAAAAAGGTAGATGCCAGTGTCTTGTTCTTTGAGCAAAACAAGCTTGCTTGTCTTCAGTTATTCAGTTAAAATGTTAAGACTTGACCTTTACTAGAGACTTAAGTTACTTTCATGCTAATACAAAACCTGTCTTTACAGCAAATTATGAAGGACAGATGGATCAATGCAGGGCATGAGGATGATGAACTTAAACCTTTTGTTGAACCAGAGCTAGACATCTCAGACCAGAAGAGAATAGGTAAGCACTAGATGGAGATAATTGGCAAACATACTTTATAACAGTAGCTCTGTTCTTGGGATATGAGACTTTACTGCTTGCTTAACTCTGCAGATGTGGATCATGACCATCACAGTTCTCTATGATTAGCTAAATTTTATTCCAGTTAGTTCCACAAATACATTTAATTATCAACAGTATATAGTACATATTTGTTGATTTTATTAATTAATTAACTAATTAATTATATTTATATCCTGCATTTCTTCTTGCAAGGAAACCAAGGAATCTTAACATAATCCTCCTCTTCTCCATTTTATCCTCACAACTGCCTTGTGAGGTATGTTAAGCTGAGAGTCAGTAACTAGTTCCAAGTCACCCTGTGCAGGCTAGAACCCAAATCTCCCAAGTCCCAGCACAATACTTTAACCATTACACCACACTGGCTTTCAATGGAACAATAAAACAGTATTGTTTGAGCAAACTTTCCTTTTTTTAAAGATATAATGGTTGGAATGGGGTATTCTCAAGAAGAAATACATGAATCCCTTAGTAAAATGAAATATGATGAAATCACTGCTACATATTTGCTACTGGGGAGGAAATCATCAGAGGTGAGTAAAATGCACAAATCATTGTAAGTTATAAGCTCAGTTTGGACATCATACCAAATACCTGTTTGTGCTAAGAACCCATGCCATGGTTTTGAGCTGTTAATCTGCTTTATTTTTCAAATGCTCATCACTCACAGTTTTGTAAATTCACTATTGTCTCCATGTTACAGCTGCATCTTGGATTGCAGCAACAACTGTAATTATAACTCATTTAATTTGCTATGTTGAAATCCATTGTTAGGTCACATTGTGGCTAGTGGTCCTTCATAAACCACAGTGTGTGAGCAGATATAGAACAAATTCAGATGTCATAACAAATCATGGTTTGTTGCTGTTACATGTTGTCAAGTCATCTTTGACTAATGGCAACCAGTGAATGAAAGACCTCCAGAGTGCCCTGTCCTTCTCAGCCCTGCTCAGTTCTTCTAAATTCAAGGCTGTGACTTCCTTTCTGGAGTCAATCCATCTTGTGTTTGGTCTCCCTTTTCTTCTTCTGGCTTCAGCATACCCTGGCATGACTGTCTTCTCCAGTGAGTCTTTCTTTCTCATGAAGTAGTGCCTGAAGTAGGATAGCCTCAGTTTTGTCATTTTTCTTTCTAAATCATGGTTTATTGAGATAGAAATTAGCCACAGCAAGACTTCTGTTTGGGTACTCTCCACCCCCCCATTCAACTGCAGTATGATCACAAGGCAGGCAGAATTATTTTTAGCTGCAGTTAATTTATTAAGGATATTTAAGTTTAAGAATCTGCTGTATCAGATCCTTAAACTTCAGTCAAACTATTGTTTGTTTGAAACAAGCTAACTTCATAATCCATAGTTTGGCCCATTTCGAACAAACAGTTGGGATTAACCCCCATTAGTCAGGTTTGAGCTAAATAGGAGGCTGCTACTATTCAAAAACCAAAGTATATGCTTCTGAATTGTGGCCATGCTAGAGGAGGGTGCATAAGAAGCCAAGATATTGATGTCTGAAATGGCCCATAGACTTGGATATCAAAACAAAACATTATTTGTATTTACAATCATCTTAATACAATTAGGGTGCAGTCCTAGGCATGTTTAGACATTAAAAAGAATGACTGTCTGGAGAATGCTGAGAATGGTAGGAATTTTTTTCTTGTCTAGACCTTCATAGGGTTGGGCCTTAAAGTGGCATATTCAGGACTCCTACAGACTTGCTACCTCTCCTCATGTGGCAGAAAATAGAATAGTTTCTTTCTGCTCTTCTGTTCTTGTTCATTCACTTGCTGCTTTGGTGAGGTAAGGGCAAGTCACTCAGATTTGCCATGGAAGATCTCCCAGCTCATGTGAGGGGAGAAGGAGGTGCAAGAACAGCCCCCATAATTCATAAACCCAGGCAATTGTGGCAGTTGTAGGAAGGAATCTTCAAATGTTTCTCCTTCTACTGAAATCCTGCTCTTATATGGAGCTCCCTGTAGTCTCTCATCCCAGAGTCTGTTTGGAACCACACCTTAGTTTCAGCAGTGCTGCAGTATCAGATGCTCTGATTATTTGCTGATTTTTTTTCTATTACTACATCAGAATCCTTTTCTAGTATGTAGGAACCATAGATCAAACCTGCAGTGACAGAAGCTATTTATCTTATGTATTTCTATGACATCTTTTAGGATAATTCCTTCAAGGTGGCTTACAAAATCTTAAAATAAAAGGGGTGTGTCTAGTCATTCTCTGGCCCTGTTCAACTTCCAATGTTAGGGACAAAGCAGAACGTCCACAGCAGCTCAAACATTGCTCAGTCAGCTTCCTTGAAATTGAAATTGAAATTGAAATTTCCTTGAAAAACAGCCTCTGGTTATTCTGGGCTTTCACAGTTTGAATTTACCTCTGCCTTTTGTTTGCTTAAGTTTGAAGAAAGGTGGTTGCCTCAAGGTAACCACTAAATAACAATACCTTTGGTAGCATAACTTACAGACTTGTGTACAATAAGAAGTGACACATGCTTTGCATTGGCATTTTTTGTTATTGCTAGTTACAGATGGCTGCATCTAATTTAAGTGAATAGTGTGCATGATTGTCAATATTGTGTAATGTGATGAATAGACTTTAAGGCAAATAACTTTGGTAGATTATTGTAACTACTCTTTGGAAACCTCTTTTGTTGTGAAAGCTTCAGTTTGAACAAAATACAGTGTATCTTCCTTACATTGCTTTCACACTAAAGCACAATATATAGTATGCCTTATTCCTCAGTGCTAGAAAAAGAAACCAAGTTCTAAGACCCTTATTTTTATACTTAGGGTCTTAAGGAAAAGAATTTGCTGTGTTCCTGAGATTCTTTAACTGGTGGTGCTGAGATTTTATTTTGGGGCAGTAGATGTTTTTCAGACTCCTACTAAGTCACGTTGTGACTCCTACTGAGTCAGTTTGCTAGTCTATCTCAGGTTTCATATGGTCAAGGAATGGACAGCTGTATCATGTTATCTGTGAGTTTGGAAAAAATCTCATAACCTGAGTTTTTCACGACTAATTTTGCTTTTCTCAGGACTCTTGCTCTCCCCTTTCATGTAGTGAATACTTCCCGCAGAACACTTCCCATTCAAATTCATGATGGTTCAAAAATAGCTCAAAAGGTGAAATATGTTTCTTCGTCCTGGTCTCTGTGCATCACACATATGGGCTTCTGCACCTACATGCACAGCAAGTGTTAGGTATTGAACCCCCTTAGAATCTTGCAGGAGCATCATGCTGATAAGCTAACCTTTGTCATGACTGTTTCTGTTTAGTTGGATGCCAGCGACTCGAGCTCCAGCAGCAACCTTTCACTAGCTAAAGTCAGGCCAAGTAGTGATCTCAACAATAGCACTGGACAATCTCCACATCACAAAGTGCAGAGAAGTATATCTTCCAGTCAGAAGCAGCGACGGTACAGTGACCATGGTGAGTGGCCTTTTTATTGCCTTGGAACTTCCATTGCAGGAAGGCAATTGAATTGAATCCCAACCCCTAAAGGAAAAGCAAAAGGTTGCATTGTGAACGAAGACTTTAGCTTATGCTATTTGAAAGAGGATTCAGATTGGGCATTAGAGGCCAATTCTATGCCATGATTACTGTAATAAGAGGTCCAGATAATTCTGTGAGATAATCCATTTCAGATGTTCATGGCATGTACATTCTGAAGTGAGACAAAAGATAGGCAGTGGTTCTGCTTTACTGTGGGAGGAATGTTGGTGTTAGTACAGTGTAGTAGTATCCAGTTCCCTTTGCTGCAAATCCCATGCTACAATTAAAGGCCAGGGAAGTTAAAGGGGCCAGTTCTTCATTAACCCAGAAGTTATAATTTCCATCCTACCCCACTCTATTTCATAGGTTTTGTTTTGATGCTGGTTTCCAATAGTGAGATTGACCAAGAACTACTTTGGCTGAAGATTTTTTTCCCTGGCAAAAAAAGAACTTACTTGCTTTGTCTTGCTGTGCTGACCAATTTTAGCCAAACCACCTCAGGTAGTTCCAGTATGTTTCACATTCCCTCTGTGCAGTAGGGATCCAGCATTAGAAGTTAATATTAGTCTACATTTTCAGGCCCTGTCTGGCAAACGAAAAATCCATTTGGGGCAAAGATGATACCTGAAACTTGCAGTAATATAGTAATTATGAAAAGTATTGTAAGATATAAGAGACCCAAGCACTTGAAGTAATCCCAATTGCATTAAAATATCCTCCTCAGGGGTACATACATATGTACATAAATACTCTGTGTGGGTGTGCACATGCTAGAGAGAAAATTAAATATTTACATACATTCACATCACCCTGCAAGAAGTAGAGGTTAAATGTCTGTTTACTGGTATGTTCCCTAGCATTCATTATTGTCCTAGAGAAGATTTAATAAGTATCTTGCAACTTTTCTTTGAAGAAACACAAAAGTCCTTTCTTTCTCTGATCTCTCTCTGTGTGGCTTTTGTTTTCTTTTTGACACTATTGGGTCAGCCTGTGTTTAAAAGAACTAGGAGAACTGTGTGTTCACCAGTATTTCTTCACATTTCCTTTTTTCCTAAAGTGCTGTCCTCTCTTCCACAAAGTCTACTGGTTATGCAGAGCATCAGTACACAGCCTATTTGCCTTGTATGACCTAGTAAAAACAACCATCTTCTCATCTGAATGCATTGTGAGGCTTAATCCCAGTGGAAAAAAATCAGCCTTCTTTATGCAGTCCCTTAAAATCATTTGTGACTGGTTTGAAGTGGATGAGCCAAAGTTAAAAACTTCTGCTTTTTATTTTAATGCAAAGATAAATGCAGGCAGATGAAGTTAATCTTGAAAACATGCACACTATTTGCATGGTACCTACATACATAAAACATTGTAGTAATAGCAGGCCCATGTTAATAGTGGATCAAGAAAATTTTGTCCACTGTAATAGTTGAACTTCTATCCCAGTTCTGGGTTTTTATTTGACCAAACTCTTCAGTACTTTAGGTTTCAACAAAAAGTCCTTAATTTAATGAAGTGCAGTGAAATACTGAACAAATTGTCGACCCCTGGGCTTGGACTACCACTCTCTTCCACCCCCACATAAGCAGAAAAGCTTCAGTATGTATGAGGAGAAGAATCTCTACTACTATTTGTAGTCAGAAGCCACTGTGCCTTAAAGCTCCCAAGTTTGGAGATAGATTTTTTTAGGGTTATTTCACTAATTGTGCTCTTACAAAGAAGTGTTTGTATGATATTTGCACTGTATATTTCTTAATATGCACACCTAAGAAGTAGGTGAAAAGTTCCTTAGATAAAATGAATGACCACCAGGGCATCTATCATTCATACTTCTGTCTCAGCTAAAATCATACTACCTAATGTCTTCAGTAGTAACTGCTGAATGCTATTATTACTTTATATCTTTGCCATTTAAGTTTTTGCTATAAGTTTCCAATGATGTGATGGCTTTATGTAATCCATTCTGTTTTGTAGCTGGTCCCTCTGTTCCTCCAGTAGTGGCATATCCAAAAAGAAGTCAGACTAGCACTACCGACAGTGACCTCAAAGAAGAAGGGATTCAGTCGCGGAAATCTAGTGGCACCGCTGCTGGAGGAAGAGGAATTGCGCCTGCCAGCCCCATGCTTGGCAATGCCAGCAACCCAAACAAAGCTGATATTCCTGAGCGTAAGAGGAGCTCTGCTGCACCCAATGTAAGCCATGGCATTAAGTTATTAGGAGTTTGCATATACATTTTTCTTTTCCACCAGACTTATTTATTAGGAGCGGTTTCTAGCAACACAAATAAAAATATTTAAATAATAATCAGTCAGGTTAAATAAAATGACTGATTTGCTCAGTCAAGCAAATGTGGATAGCTCATATTTATATGTCTTGTTCTGTGATTATCAAATATTTTATTTCAGTAGTCCCTACATTCTGAAACTGTTTCTTCATAAACATTTAAGAGATTTACCCAAAGAAAACTGTGACATCCTTTGGTTTTGTTTCTTGCCTTTTTTCTTCCTGTGGTTTTACTCATAGCCTTATATTCTGTCATCTCTTAGCAAATTATTTAGCCTTTTTATTTTATAGCCTTTGTCCCTACCCATTGCTGACATCCCCCCTCCCCGCAAAGCAATGTAAACATTTGACAGAAAAGAAATTCCCAGTAAAGCATACATGAACTGTATTATTAAAGCTTGATCATATTTCCTTTCTCTGATCATCTGTGTTTGCTAGTCCTCTTCTGGGTTTTCTGTTTTTTTTTTTTCAGTCTGTCTTTATCTATACTCAAATGAAAAGTTACCTGTTTCCTTTCAGGAACTCTGAATAGATGAAAGAATCCTTGGGGGTTTTAGATTTGATTTTGAACTTTCTTTTCAGCTTTGTTAAGATCTTTGGTTTTCTCATTAAATTTGTGCATTAATGATTAAATGTGTGCTTTCTTCAAGATACCTTGTGGTGCTAGTTCATAGCTCAGCAGATCTTGTTCACTTCGGAATGCATCTCTCTGTTTTTGCTCAGCTCTGGGCCGTCGTTGGGTTGTCCATTTCAAGTGGTAGTACTTCTCATGTAATTAAGGATGCATATTATGAGCAAAGGAATCAGCTGCATTCCAAGTCAGACTATAGGTCTCTCTAGCCCAGTACTGTCATTCTGACAGTGGCTGTTTAGCATCTCAGGCAGTGGCCATTCCATTAACTGGAAATCTCGGGAGAAAAATCTTGGAGGATATGTAGTATCTGGACCCATTTCAGTCTGAGCTCAGGACCTATTTTGTTAAGTGTCCTTGATCAGGGGAGTGCAATGCTATTGCCTTGGTGTAGTGTTGGGCTGGTGGAGAACCAGCCAACTGAAACTGAATCCTAGTAAGGCGAGGCTCTGTGAGGATGTCCTGGATGGAGTTGCACTTCCTCTATAGGGGCAGGAACATAGTCTGGGGAATGCTTTTGGGTGCATCCCTCCCCCAAGACCCGTATGGCCTTGATGGCAAAGAGCACCCGTGGCTAGCTTTGGCTGATCTGGCAACTGTGGCCATTCTTGGAAAGGCCTCACTACAGTGACCCATGCATTGGTAACCTCAAGATTGGGCTACTGTAATGCACTGGGGCTGCCCTTGAAATCAGTTTGGAAGCTGCAGTTAGTACACAGAGGAGCAGCTAGATCTCCAGGATCTTTCAGCGTCCTACTGCGTACATATGGTTCTTGTGCTGAAAGCTCTGCACTAACCACTGCGTCCAAAAAGACTATGAGTTGCCACAAATTTGTCATGGATCATAAGGAGATGCCTTATACTGAGGTGGATCATTCATTCTTTTCTGGTCAACTTTATTTATTTATTTATTTATTTATTTATTTATTTATTTATTTATTTATTTATTTATTTATTTATTACATTTCTATACCGCCCCCATCGCAACAACGCCTCGGGGCGGCTCACAAAGGATACATAAATAATAACAATACAACGAATTAAAAAAAATTGTTTAAAAGCCCCCGGTGCATTCTCGGCTAAAAATTTAAAATCCTATTAATTCAAATAATTTAACAATTAAAATAAGTTTTAAATAAAAAGGTCTTAGCCTGGCGCCGAATAACAAATAACGACGGCGCCAGGCAGACCTCTCTGGGGAGCTCATTCCATAGATGGGGCGCTACCGCAGAGAAAGCCCTCCTCCGGGTACTCACCCTCCTAATATCCTTCATGGAGTGTTCCCGGAGAAGGGCATCTGTTGCTGATCTCAAGGGGCAGGAGGGCATATATGGGCGCAAGTGTTCCTTTAGATATCCAGGTCCCAAGCTGTTGAGGGCTTTATAGGTCATAACCAACACCTTGAATTGGGCCCAGGCTTCAATCGGGAGCCAGTGGAGCTGACGGAGAACTGGGGTTATATGTGAACAACGCCCAGTCCCCATCAGCAACCTGGCAGCTCTATTCTGCACCAATTGAAGTATCCGGACCGTCTTCAAGGGTAGCCCCACGTAGAGCGCGTTACAGAAATCTAATCGGGAAATTACCAGTGTGTGTGTCACTGTTGCCAGGCAGTCGTTCTCCAGGAAGGGACGCAGCTGACGTATCAGCCGAAGCTGAAGGAAGGCGCTCCTCGCCACCGCCGTCACCTGAGCTTCTAGAGACAGCTCAGGGTCGAGGAGCACTCCTAAGCTGTGAACCCTGTCCCTCAGAGGGAGTGCAACCCCATTTAGGACAAGGCTCAAGTCCCCCATCCCGAGGCCCGAGCCACCCACCAACAGGACCTCCGTCTTGTCTGGATTGAGCTTCAGTTTATTGGCCCTCATCCAGCCCATTACCTCAGCCAGGCACCGGTTCAGCACAGCCACTGCCTCACCTGGATTGGTAGAAAACGAGAGGTAGAGCTGGGTATCATCCGCTTACTGATGATTCCGCAGCCCACACCTCCTGATGACCTCTCCCAGTGGTTTCATGTAGATGTTAAATAGCAAAGGGGACAAAATGGACCCCTGCGGAACTCCATGGCATAACTGCCATGGCGCAGAGCCGTAGTCTCCCAGCACCACCTTCTGAGATCGGCCGTTGAGATAGGAGCGGAACCACCGCCACGCAGTGCCTCCAACTCCCAAACTCGCTAGCCTATTCAGAAGGATACCATGGTCGATGGTATTGAAAGCCGCTGAGAGGTCCAGGAGAACTAACAGGGACACACTCCCCCTGTCTCTCCCTGCACAGGTCATCCTACAGGGCAACCAAGGCAGATTCAGTGCCATACCCGGGTCTGAAGCCGGACTGAAATGGGTCCAGATAATCAGTTTCATCCAAGAGTGCTTGGAGTTGTCCTGCCACCACCCGCTCTAGCACCTTGCCCAGGAACGGGATGTTGGCCACCGGTCTATAATTGGTGGCCACCTCTGGATTCAGGGATGCCTTCTTTAGGACTGGCCGGACTACCACCTCCTTTAAAGGGGCAGGTACCCGGCCGTCTCTTAAAGAGGTGTTGACCACCTCCAGGATCCAGGTCCCAATCCCATCCTTGGCTTTCTTCAGTAGCCAAGATGGGCATGGGTCTAGTAAGCAAGTGGTAGGATGTACTTGTCCAAGCACCTTGTCCACATCATCAGGCCGCAACAATTGAAATTCATCCATTAATTGTGGACTCAACGACGTCAATGGCATCTCCCCAGTAGAATCTGATTCAGTAGTAGAGTCAAGCTCGTGGCGAATCTGAGCGATTTTCTCCCTGAAATGCTTGGCAAAGTCGTCACTGCGGGCCTTCGAGAGTGGCACAAGATCTTTCTTTGGGCCCGGATGTACCAGCCCCTGCACCACCCAAAAGAGCTCCGCCGGACGGCATTGTGAGGAGGCAATGGAAACGGAGAAGAATTTCTTCTTCGCCATCCTCACCGCCACAGCATAGGCCCGATAATGGGCTCTCAAGTGTGTTCAGTCAGAATCACCCCGTGATCTCCTCCACCTACGCTCTAGACGTCTCCCAACCTGCTTCATCGCCTGTAATTCAGGTGTATACCAAGGAGATGAATGGGCTCTGCCAGGTGGGAGAGGACGCTTGGGAGCGATCGTGTCAGTAGCCCTGGTCATCTCCTCATTCCACAGTTCAACCAGGGCATCAACAGGATCACCAGTCTTGTCAACCGGAAAATCCTCCAGAGCTTCCAGGAATCCATTATCTGCTCTGATGGGCAGCAACTTTTCAGAGTTTGACTTTACTTGCTACGTTTTGGTTGAAATTTCTGAGGAATGCATCTGAGTCTTTGTTCATGCAAAACATAAGTTCTGCCGTAGCATTTTAACATATACAGTGGAGGGCCCTGCCTGCCACTTTATAAATTGTTTGTACCTAAGCACTTGACACAACCCAAACCTTGCAGGTATGTTCAGAGCAGTTCTTCTATTGCAGCCCAATAGAAGATACTATCAATGGCTTCTAGCTACAGAGAACCTCCTGAGGGGCACTTTTGATGGAAAGGCTGATTAGAAATTGAATACTTGTTCAGAACCAATTTGCTGCTGGGGCAGCAGTGTTGCCTTCATGCCTTGCTTGTGAGTTTGTGGAAGCAATCTGGCAGACCAATACATAGAACTGGATGCTGTGAGAGATGGAGCCTTGGTCTAATCTAAGAGTTCCTCATATGTTTTAGCAGTTTTTGCATAGTGTAGACATTAATGGCCACTGCTTGACCCCTATGTGAAGAAAATGTTGGACTAGATTGAATTCTTTGTGTAATCTAACATGCCATTGGTATTCACATGATTTGCCCTTTCAGGCATCATTTCTGAAAGCCACTAGCTTGCAGGTTTTCCTCCCACTTCCCTCACCATGGAGGGAAGAAACAACAGATTGACAGATTCCACACTTAGATTTGTGATATCCCATTAAGGTATTCACCTCTTGGCTCAGAGTTGTGGTGTATCTGTAGCAAATGTCCAAGGAAAAAGAATATTGTTTAGGTTATTTGCAAGTGCAGGCAGTGCTATAAAGACGCATAGCAGCAAAATGTTGTTCTTTTGAATCTGAGAGCATTATTTACATCAAACTGCAGTTGCAAATTCTTCACATTTCATTAGAATATGCCGTTTAAACAAGCCTTTACTTGTGTATGGCAGATAATGAAAGACCCTACTTATTTGATTTTTTTTTCTTTCTAACTTAAAAGAAACTTAAGATTACTTTGTCACCATCTGCCCCACACCAGTTTTATCAAGTTCCCTTCCTTTCTTCCTCCCCCTCATACTCCTACAGTTAATGGTGTAAAATATCTGTTGTAGCAGTAAATCTTCAAAGGACTCCACAGATTAGTTGAAAATGATGCTCCCATTAATCAGTTTGTCTTACCAAGTTGTTTACTTAGCACGGAGCAGTGTAGTGCACATGAGCACCAAAGTACCTCCCTGAAGACCTTTGTTGGTGCTTCTGCTTTTTAACAAATTGACATGTTTTCTTACCACCACATTAATTCAATGTGAAATAGGTTTCTTTTGGTGGATTTAAACTCTGTTGGGTCTCAAACCCCACCTCTCCCTTGTATTCAGTCTTTTGGTGGATTACTTGTCCTTTGCCTTTGTGATGGTGCCCAGGGCACTTTCTCAAATTGCCAACTATGCCTACAGTCCAGAAAGTTTGCATACCCATGGCTTAGCATATAATTGCAACAGATTTCAGCAAAAACAGTCTTGGAAGTCTTTCTCATTAGAGAATGCTTGACTTGATAATCTCTGTTTCTTTTTGTATTGTAGCTTGAAATTCAGAATGGGTGGTGGGAATGGTATAATGGAATTGTGTCTTGCTTTTCTAGTCTTTATGGGGATTTTTTGCTTGTTGCACTTACTATTCAGGAGGAAGAAAGATTAAAACTTTCCAGATTTCCTTATTTCCTCTGAATGAGCAGTGGGTACATGCTTATCCTGACCATATGCTTTGTCTATTTTCAGTGCATCTAACACTTTTAAACCCATTCTGTTATCCACTAGCTCTTCTGTCATTCCTGGAAAATTGATCACCGGCTTGGGCATATCTCCACACTCTTTCTCTGTAAAGACAGAGGCAAAGTAATTATTTAACTTTCTTTGTGGTCCTGCCCCCAAACAAAATGTCATTTTTGAGTAGGCTTGTGGTTATCTTTTCCTCTGTGTATGTATGTGTGTACATATTTGAAAATGTCAAACTGTTTTGCAATGTACCCTTCTATTTCTACTTCCTTTGTTTTAACTGTGGTTTCCTTACAGCCTTAATTATTTTGTGTTAGATGATGTCCTTTTTTTTTTACTTCCTGTTGTACACAGTAATATTTCTTATAATTTTTCCTGAATCTCTATTAGACCTCTCAATTGTGTTCTTATTTGGAACATTGCTTAGTTTCAGGTGGAAAAGGTGGTATTCATGTTTCCTAAAAGATCCATAAAATGTTTAAAAATAGATGGCAAGAAATAGTTTAAATGTCTGATTTTGGGTTCAATGTAGACAAAAGCTAGTAATAAGTGGATAGGGTGTTTCAGTTTCTTTATGACTGAGCAGCTTCAGTTCAGTTCATAATAAAAATAGCAGAATCATGAAAACTAGAATGTCTGGAAGTTAACAAATGTGTGACATTTCTTTGCAGAATAACACTGCACCTGGAGCCATGACACGGCGAAATACATATGTTTGTAGTGAAAGAACAACTGCAGACAGACACTCAGTCATTCAAAATGGCAAGGAGAGCAGGTAAGAGTTTTTTGAAGGAAAGCTTTCCATACTTAAGTAGTGGCTGTGATGGCATTATTATTTTCCTCTGAAGTTAGCAATCATGAAAAAAATCTACAACATATTCCAATTAAACAGCATTAGTTGCTACTGGAATTTCTTACCTTGATCAATCCTAATTTGGCATCTCTGAAAATGAAATGGAGAAGATGTAATCCTGTCAAGCATTTCAGATCCTGCTGATTTTGGTGATAAACATATAGCTCAACCCTTTATATTTTACTTAAATGAACTCCCAGTGAAACCTGCTCCCAATATTTCAGCCTTAAGCATGTGCTTAACCTCTTCTTTAACTGAAATCAAAAACAAGTGCTTAATTTTGTCTGGGTTGTGTCCATCATTGTTATGTGATATATGCAGTCTGTATTTAATGTTGGTATTCTTGGGTTTGTGGAAAGTAGGATAACAGGGCAACTTTTATTCTTTGACCTTTATAAATTGTGTGTGTGTGTGCATGTGTAGTGTTGAGCTGCACCCTGAAGCATTTGGAAAGGAGGGACAGGCAAAACATTAAAAGAGGGCAGGCAAAAGACTAAAATTAGTACTCTAAAATACTTGTACTATGTTGTAATTTGCAATATCTCCAAAAAATGAAGAGGGAGACCTCAGAATGAGACTGAAGAACCATGGTGAGCATTTATTCTTAAAACATCCCAGTAGTTACACATTACACACATGAAATATATCCATTCTTCAAAAGTCTGTAATCCCTTCTTTGTCTCCCTAAGAAAGGTGTTCTCTTATCTGCTGAGAGAGCAACATGTAATATATCCTACTTGTATTTACAACATGTGCTAAGTGAGTTGCTACAGTACTGTGTGAGATCTTTTTTGCCTTTGAAGAAGGGGCATTTTTGGCACACTGTACACCATAGGAAATGTCTGTATTCTTACATACTTGCCCTGAATGGTAAAAAAAAAATGTTCTTTTGCACTGAACCTTCTCTGTGTGTTTAAATTCTACTAGATATTACAGTCCTACATAATTCCAGGTTTTCCATAAAAGGCCACTAGTTTTGCTTTCATGGATATTGGTTCTGAATCTCTACCATACTTGTTTTCCATATTTTTAGACCATCTTTCAACCTCACAGGTTCCAGGGTGGTGTACAAAATGAACAAGACAAGTCATTTAGAAATACAGTACATTTGGTGTTACATTTATCACTGCTAGAGTAATGCATTAAACAAATGAAAAAATGCTGAAAAGTAATATTAACCCATTTCCCCAGCTGGTCATTTGTTACAGTAGGTAACGTTCTGCCTTAGAAACCAAATACCTTTCGGACTTGTCCCTTAGTGCAGCCAGTTCCTCAGTTTAAGAACCTCTGCTCTTTTCCTTCAAATGTTGTTTAGATGAGAAACTGGCTTACTAAACTATAGAGAAGCAGAGTGCTGTGAAGAACAGTTTGAAAGAAAGGCATTAGACCTTCCTCCTGGATGACTTCAGATTGCTTCCCATCAGAACCTTTAATCCATTAGCCGCTCTCCCACACCTAATTTTCTTGCTTGCTCATTACATTTTTATCCTGACTTTCCTCCAGGGATCCCAAGGGGGTATATGTGATCTTCATCCTCCATTTTATCCACACAGCAATCCAGTGATGATGGAGGACTAGAACCCAGATCTCCTGGGTCCCAGTCCAGTACTGTTATGCATCACCTTCCCCCCCCCCCCCCAATGCTGTCTAGGAATAATGGGAGCAGAAGTCTCATCCATTTGGAAGGCACCAGGCTGGGGAAGACTGCATTAGAGAACAGACACTTCAGACAAGGTGTGGGGTGGCAGGGCAGAAGAAGAGCAACTTTCTCTGACAACCCAGGCAGGAATGGAGTTTTCACTCCCAGAGAAGGTCTTAACTTTAATGCAACTCCCTTGGAGAATTTCCAGCATGAACACTTAAGACTGACAGTTATGTATATCCATATGCAGTCTGTGCTAAGCTATTTTATATTGTATTAAAGGTTAACAGTATCCTGCAGGGTAACAGAAGAGAGAGAGAAACCTGTTCTTCCCATATGTTTTGAGTCTGCATGTCAAATAAGACCTGATTTAATTATTTAATTGAAAATCTTGCAACCCCCCTAGAAGATGTATGATCAGTAGAATTTCTAACTTAGAAGTCAAGTTAAATGAAATACAACTGCTTTGAACAAGCTGTGGTAAATTTTATAGAAGCTGCATGGTATTTGAACCTGAACAACAGTTTTTGGGTAACTAATAATGTAATTGATGCTATCTTCTCCATTTTTCATCCTTTACTGCCCTTACTATTTACTACTCTCCTTCCCCCAGTTACTGTACTTTGGGGAAAGGAGACCCTTTTTCCAAATTTGAGGCATGCATTGCTGTATATACATGTAGCAGAGAAAAAATCTGGGGGATGGGGTGGTGAAGTAGCAGTGGTTTCTTGTAATGCTAGGTATGAGTGTGTGTATTTGAAGGTGGATGCCTGGGACAGAAAAGGGATTCTTTTGGTGTACCGACCAGCTCGCTGCTCAACATTCTTCCTTCCTCAGCTAGCCAGGGGTAATGCCAGGGTTGTTGTTGGAGATTCCTTGCCTTGTGCTGGGGGAATTTAACAGCCATTCCCCAATTGGCCAGTCAAGATTTCATGTGCACTATGACAATCATGGATCTGTCCGAAATGGTCTTTGGCCCCAGTCACAATCTGGGTCTTGTTTTCTGGGCACAGTCTGGGTCTTGTTTTCTGTGCTGGACAGGTTCATAGTGACCTGAGAGTAGAAAAATTCTCAGTAGTTCCATTGTCATGGACAGATAAATGGGGTTTAGACTTGCTGATGCTGAGATCCTCTGTGGGGGTGGAGTGCCAGTAACAATGGTTCACCCTCGCAGGCTGATGGAGCCTGATGGATGGATCTTGATAGCTCTTGAAGATTTTCCTGGTGCCTATACAGGCAATGCTGTTGAAGCCCAGGCTGATCTCTGGAACAGAAAAATAACCAGGGTGGAAGACCCAATTCTCCTGAGCACCTCCTCTCATGCAGCAAAGGCACCCTGGTTTTCTAGGGAGCTGGCAGCAATGAAACAAGTGAGACAACTAGCATGATGTTGGTAGAAAACTTAGGCTGAATCTGAGCAAGCACAGTCTAGATCAGGGGTGGGCAATTGATTTTCCTATGGGGCCACATGAGAAACTTTGACAGTTGTTAAGGGCCGGACCAATACACTTACAGCTCTGCTCAATATATATCTCTATAAAAACAGTAAATGAAACATTACAATGATACAATGAAAATGTGGAGCACAGAACAACACTATTTAATGAATATTCACAAAAACATTAACATTACATGAAAAGCAATAAATTCAATTCAGTTTTACTTACATAGTGCAAATTTATAAAAGCAGTGCAGTTGTATTGCTTGCATCTATATTATGACAATATATATTTGCATTGACTTTTAATTTGCCAGTGACCTCATGTGGGCCAGTCAGGGTCAGCCATCAGGCCGGATGTGGCCTGTGGGCCGTACAGTGCCCAGGTCTGGTCTAGATCCTGCCACTCTGTGGCAATACAAGGAGGAAAGAAGAGAGTCTTTTCTGCCACTGTTACTGAGTCTGCAGAGAGCTATTCTGCAGAGTTATTTTGAGTGGTAGGAGGTCTTTGATATGCTGACCCACAAGAGGAGGATTCAGACCTTTCATCAGCCCAGTGTGATCAATTTGCTCAGCACTTTGCCTACAAAGATGCTCAGATCCACTCTGCCTTGCTGCTGTGGTTAATACCATCCCTGTAGATATAACTTTGGCTCCTGCTTGCTCAATGTTATGGGATATTTTTCAGTTTGTACAGGCTGAGGAAGTGAGCAGGATTGTTGGAAGGATGAGAGCCACAGTGTTTTTTCTGGATCCTTGCCCTCCCTGGCTCATAAAAACAACAGGGTACATGGGTGAACCCAATGCCTTCTTTGGTCAAGGCAGGGTCCCAGCCTGCTTGAAGGAGGCAGTGGTGCTGAGAAAGCCCTCCTTGAGTCCCACTGTATTGGATGATCGTTGATCAGCCGCCCTTCCCATTTAAACCATGCAACTCTTCCTACCCACTCTGCTGGGTTGCTCTGGGTACATCTTTTCTTAGTACTGATTAGCTAAGGTAGAGAGATGGGGAGGAAGGTGCAGTTTTGACCCTGGACCCAATGCTATATGTTATCTTCAGAGGCAAAAGGTGGTCTCATTCCTGCATCTACAAGGCCGTTTTGACAGTATTCAGTAATAACCAAAGAAGGAAGTGGGTACAGTTCAGAAGTGTAGTATTTTGCATGTACCAGGTTCAATCTGGCACCTGCCGTTCAAGGTTTTTCTGTAGCAGAGCCAACAGCAACCTCTGCTTGAAACCTTGAAGAGTTTCAGTCAGAATAGACAGCACTGGGCTAGATAGACCACTGGCCTGACTCAAGTATAATACTTCTGTATAGCCTGAAATCCCTGATACTCCCTAATCTTGAAAGCTAAGCAAGGTCACTTCTGGTTAGAATCAGAATGGGAGACTTGAGTCCTGCATTGAGCAAGGGGGCTGGACCTGATGCCCTTCTAGGCCCCTTCTAACTGTATGATTCTAAGTTTAAGGAAATCCAATACGTTTGTGACTAATCAGGAAAACGTGTCTTCAGTTGTTTTCCTTTCCTCTTGGTCAGGTTTGTTTGTTTGTTTGTTTAGAATTCTTGTATCCTGCCCCATCGCAAGAGCCTCGGGACAGCTTACATACAAATTGTGAATGGTTTGATTGTGAATGAGTATTTAGCCAAAATGGAAGATGCTTGTGAAGAAAGATTTTTCTTTTTACTGCGCAACAGTTTGCATGTCTGTCATTGGTCCATCATACTGTTCTTTCTGCCTCTGCCTGAACCCAACCCTCTCACAGTCTGACTGAATCATGCACTAATCCAGCTAGCCCCGATACCGTTTGTACCACATCCTCCGCCAGTGTTCGGCTGCGACATCAGAAGTCGATGTCCATGTCAGCCTCTGTTCATGCGAAGTTGATGTTACCTCCAGTAAACAATGGCGCAGATAACTTCAGGTCTATGTAAGAACATTGTTGTGAAATAACTGATAGGCACTGCTGCTAGTCTCTGTGCTATGGAATTTTTAGACATAGACAATGCTAGAACACTGTGTTACCCACAAGAAGTATTTTTCCCTTTTTGTGCTACCTAGCTTTGACTTCTGGTCAAGGTGGTTAGTGATGTGATCCCTTCTTAATGACCATGTTCCTTTAGGGCTGTCAGAAATCTTCCTTCTACCCTAACAAATACTGTAACCTTATACTGTAATAGTGCATGGCTGCAGAAAATATTAGGAACAACATTTTGAAATAGATTCTCTTATAGATGTTTTTCTTCTGGAAAGATATTCTCAAATTATCAGCATGGGTAGTAAGTGAAGGAAAGGGATTTTTACATTCATATTTATAGAAGGAAGCTACACTTGAACCTCCTTTCCTCTCCTGCATTAGCTTTTCCATTTAAAAAAATCCATATGAAATAGCTTCGGCTGAACTTTGCCCCTTCCATGCAGATTTTTAGATTCCCTTTTTTGCTTCTACTGCATTTATGTTGTTAAAATTATGAATCATTGATGTGCTGACATAATGCTCCCTCTAAACTGTAATCTGTAAACCTTTTTGTTCTGTCCTCTAGAGGTACACCATGCCTTTTTAAAACCTGTACTGTGTTAGTCTTGCAGAAAGGTGAGTTTTTGCAGATAAAATGTGAATTCATCTGTGCTCTTATTCTAGTACTATACCTGATCAAAGGACACCAGTTGCTTCAACTCACAGTATCAGCAGTGCAACAACGCCTGATCGCATCCGTTTTCCAAGAGGAACTGCGAGTCGTAGCACTTTCCACGGGCAGCTCAGAGAACGGCGCACTGCTACTTACAATGGGCCCCCTGCATCGCCCAGTCTGTCTCATGAGGCAACGCCACTTTCACAGACGCGAAGCAGGGGCTCCACTAACTTGTTCAGTAAATTGACCTCAAAGCTGACAAGAAGGTATGTATTTTTTAAAAAATCAGGACAGAATTTTGCTTTGGCATTCTCCATAATATTACCTAGCCATGTTACAGTTTTAGGTGTCCATTTCTCTTTTCTGTGGTCTGCAACTCTTTAAGTGTAAAAGAAAAGCATATTTAAAAATTACACATGTAGCAGCAAGGTGTTGAAAAACTACGTGAGGTAGGGTGGGGCTAAAGAAGCTGGTTTAACTGACCCATCTTTAAAAGATCAGAAATATGGAGTAGTGGTTTATCCTAACACTGAGCAAGATAACCAGGTGACAACTGTTAACATAGAAAGTCTCATCCCCAGAGCTTGCATCATCCTTGTATATGAAGCAAGTTTTTTCTTTAAACCCACTTGCATATCAGGACTCCTGAGGCTTGGATGACTAATTCTGTCAGTATCTTCCCATACTTCACACTGAAGAGAATGAAAGACATTCCATGGTGAACACGAGGAGCCAGTCAGCTTTGCCAGAATGTGGTGATTCAAAAGTTAAGGCCTATAAGCAGCATAGGTGCTAACAGATAATAAGAGCTGAGAGTGAGATTTTCAAAAGGAGGAATGGACACATGTAAATTCATGGTGGACTTTCCCTTGATTAGAGTTGCAGTTGTGCTCTTTTTTCAGGACGCATCAAAAGCAGGAATGGTCTCACAGGCATCTGCCTTTCTTAGAGGCAGAACAGTAGTCTGTTAATTACAAAGGAGTACCCATTCAGGAAGCCCATGTTTCAAAGATTCATGTGTGCATATAATTCACTGAAGGGGGCCAGGGGCCATAGCTATTTGCAGAGGATGTGCTTTGCGCATCAAGGACCACATGTTCAGCCCTTGGCATCCCGAGCTTGAAGGGGTCTCAAGCCATGAGTTTCGGAAAGACCTCAGCCTGAGTGCCTGAAGAGTCTCTGCCAGTCAGAGATGACAATACTGCTTCACTGAATTTTCTTGCATAGTTGTTGTGTCTGTGTTAACTGAAAAAAAAGAATTCTGAAACACTTCTGAGCTAGCTTTCTCAAAGCCAGAGTTACTGGATTGGGGGCATATTTTGCTCAGTCCTTGGTAGCTTAACCATAGCATTTAATTTTTTTAAAAATTATTTACTTCTGCTGTCTTTTCACAAATATCACCAAGGCACCGTATAGTAGTCAAGCAAACCAACAGTAATAGCATAAAAACATAAGATCAACAATACAGTCACATCAATTTATTTATTTATTTATTTATTTTCCGATTTATAGCCTGCCTTTTTCCTAAAAAGGGCTCAAGGCAGCTTACATCTCCTCCTCCATCTTATCCCCACAACAACCCTGTGAGGTAGGTTGGGCTGAGAGTCTGTGACTGGCTCAAAGTCACCGTGTTGGCTCCATGGCCGAGTGGGGACTCGAACCCAGATCGTCTGAGTCCCAGTCCCATGCTTTTAACCACTACACCACACTGGCTCTCTATAATACTATTGTATTGTACTGTAATACCCTACAGTATGATTCCTTGTCCACGGTCCATGTAAATGCAGGTCAGGCAGCTTTGTCTGAATCTGGTGAGTGGACCGAGGAGTGTGTATGGGAGCCTGTGTGAAACATATCTCATACTTGGGTCACAGGAAATGATAATTTTGATGCCGTCCATGGTAGCTGAAGGAGCCCTGTACATGAGCTCCTGGGCCACCCTAGTCATTGTCAGAGACTTCCCCAAGCACCAGAGACAAGATTTCCTAGAAACTTTATTGTTCCCAAATTAGTTTGCTGTAATGTGGCACCTGAACATTTGAAAGAATTGTTTTAAGGGTTAGGATGTGGTGTGTGGTGCTTTGCTTGTATGGATGATCCTTCAATTTACCTTTAGACTCCTGAGTGATAATTAGGTGTAATATTTAATTGGCACACTCTTAACATGGAGTAAGTTACTCCTTTTCCTCAACCATGCCTTGGAGTAGTTGACCATCCATGTAGACATTCATAATGCCAAATACAGACCTGAGATTCCCTTGCCATCACTTCTGGAGGGACAGAACCTCCCCCTTGGAGAACACTGGGGGCACTTCAGTGGATTTCTCTGGATTTCTCTTAACACTGGAGACTCCTCCATTCCAATAACTATTCTTTATTTCCAGAGTGAACTTGAAACTGTTATTTCCACATTTCACTGAGCTATTATTATCATTCTGTGTCTCGCATGTTGAATGGATTTTCAATTTATTTCATACAAACACATTTTGTTAATTATTATTTTGGCTTAATTTCTTTTAGAAACATGTCATTCAGGTTTATCAAAAGGTAGGATTTTACTTATATTTTAAGAACCAGCTCTCGCAATTAACATTCAATTTGGCTTTCTGGCCTTTTTTCCCTTTAAAACAAAAATTGAAACACAACTAAACTTTCTGCTGAGAACTAAATACTCTTCATGTACCCAAGATAAGAAGAAAAAAATCATTAACTAATTATAGTTCCTATGGATCTCTGGCACCTGAATAATGAAATGCAAAGCATGCCTTGTGCGCTTTACTTTCTTTGATAGTGCCAAAAATAATTTTGTTCTTATACTAATACACCTAGCATGCTTATGGTTGAAAAATGATGTTTAGAAATATTGATCAAAAACATAATACAAAGGTAAGTAATTTTCTATTTGCTTTATCAATCTTTATTTTAAGAGCCGTGTCAGTTTATTTACTGTTATTCATAATATATTTGGAACCTAGCCCTAGGTTTTTACTTTTGTTAAAACTCAAACATTGAATATTGATACATAATCAGAACTATAAGCATCTCTATAGCATGTTTCAGTAAATGCTTCGTTCCGAGCTCTGGAATGGAGATAAAAAGTTTCCCTGTGCTTTGAGGGAGGGAAAATTATTTAAAATGGCCATCATGTTGGAGGCAGGACTGCCACCACTTACTTTGTGTATATGTAAGAGGTGGAGGAATATTGTTTGAGAACTAGGTGCTGAACCTCAAATTGGCTCAGATATTTATATGCTAAGGTGATACAAATAAAAATATTAATTATATAATATTATAATATAATAAATAATAACACTAATAGACCAAGCAGGGTTTTTTCCTTTTATACAGCAGTGAATAGGTTGCTGTATAAAAGAAGAAAAAGGAAGGCATTGTGGTTTTCCATTCATTGCTTCTGGCACTACAGAAAAAGTGCACCTTTCCCAGGGTTTACATAACTGTCAGTGTTTAATCCATTTAATGCATAGCTCACTGTGGGTCAGTTAGTGTGGGTAGATTTGGAGACTCTGCAATTTACAGAGTTCCTCAGATTAAGATTACGGTATGATACATCTTTGTTTATATCTATTGGGTGACCTGTGCTCCTTTCCCCCGGCCAGTAATTGCTGTGGGAATTCAGATTTGCATATGATACTTCTCTGTTGCTACAAGCTTTCACATTTATTTTCATGAAGCCCCGAGCTCTGCCTAATTATCTATGGAATGCATAAAGAGCTGCCTCCATTGAGTGATTCAGGCAACCCCAGCAGTATGTAAGCATCAAAGTCTTCGTTGCAGCTCCTTCAGCCTGTCTCTCAGCTGAGGTGGCTGTCAAGCTGTGATCCCCACGGGCCAGGAGATGCAGTAAAGTCTAGATAATTTGACTGCACATTTCAGACCAGCTGTTGCCATGCCAGAGCTGTAGCTGAAGGGCATCACAGGAAGCACAGGAGCCTCATGCTTCCCAGGGAAATGCATAAACCCCCAGTAGCAACACCCCCACCCCATTTCCATTATGGCCAGAGTCACTCTCTAATTGAAGGTGAGTTCTCTCTAGGCACTGCCAGCTCTTTGATTTCTATGGAAGAGATGATCCTTCATAGCTTTGCAGATGGCCTACAACTCCCTTGTTCCCGCACTATTGGCTGTGCTGTTTGGGGCTGATAGAGTTTGTATGCTGGAGCATCCAGAGGGCCACAAGTTTCCTACCTCTGATCTAGAGGGAGTTATGTACTTCTTGACTCACCCATGAACACCTAAATTAGAATAATGAAGTGGGGTGCTTTCCTGATTTTCAGTGCATGCTAATGTGTGGAGTGGTACTCTTAATCAGGAAAGCCACTGTTCCTTAATTGATTAATCTGGAATAAAAGTACATGATCTTTGGAATTTCATTATTGGCCTTACCACACTGTCCTTAATAGTCTACCTTTTTTTCCTTCTGGGAGGAACCCAAGGCACTTTACATAGTTCCATTTTATCCTCACCATAACACTCTTGTGAAGTAAGTTAGATGGATTGATGGGCCCAAAGTCACCAGTGAGCTTCACGGCCAAGTGGAAACTAGAACCCAGTTCTCCCAGGTCCCCAGTCCAACATTCTAACCACTTCACTACACTGGCTCTCTTTCATAGGTTAGAATTGTTTACAATATATCAATAGATGTTAAAATTTTAATTCCAAAACTAGATTCTTTGAATTTCATATTTATCAGTCCTAGAGAGAGTTGTATATTGCAGTAATTTTAAACTCTGGAATTACCATTCAGAAACACAATACAAAAACATAATGTATCATCTGTGAACATACAGAATCCTGTTTCATCCTGTAAGACTAAATGACACATCTATGTAATGTCAATCCAGTTTCACTTCCTGTTGCTACTTAGGGAACTTGTATTAAGTTGGACTCCCAGGTGCAGTGTGTGGTTCCGCCCCCCCAATGGATGTACTTGTGTTATGTGACATTGTATGTTGTGTCACTACACACTTAATTCCATTACGTATATTTTAATTATGGAAATACCCTAGCTGACATTTTTAAAATCATTTTACAGATGTTTACAGATCATTTCTGATAGTAATAACTGGAAACACCCTTGTGATAAACGAAAATATTCTCACGCTAATGCATGTAATATTTCACACTTCACAGATTTTGAAAAATGCTTTGTTATTTTTATCTGTGTAAATGTGCACATAAGCACTCTTATTCTCCTTTTCCAAAAAGTTCAAGGCAGCTAACAAAGAAAAAGACAGAGAATAAACATACCAATCAAAATATGTTAAAATGTATAAATATTGCCTAAAGGAAGCAACAGAAAAACAGACTCCAGAAATAGTTACAACAGCAGTAAAACCAGTTAACAAGCAAAGGCTATTATAAGCCTTTCTGTGATATAAACGTGCGTGTATTTGCATACATTATACTCAGCCACTTCCCGTATTACCATGCAGTGTTTAATTAGCTTAAATGAACTGCTGATACATGCAGTGATATGTGTTTGTAAACTGGTAACTACTGTCCAGTGTTCTGTTCTTCTGGGCCTCTGTGTCAATTCTGCCATTTCAAAATCCTGTTCAACCTTAGAGAATTGGTTGAGCATTTTATTTTCTTCCTGTTACCACTTGATATCTTACTGGTATAAATACATTACTCAGTAGGCAGAGCAGTGGCTTATGGGGTAAAAGTACATTCAGCTTTTATGCTGGTCTTTGTCCATTTTCCAGTATATCTCAGCTGTTTAAACAATATAAATGAATGGAGAAGGTTCAGGCCATGTTTCTGTACCTTATTACTGCTCAGTACACCTGCTTTTCAAGTTAAGTGGTCATTGAATTGCTCTGCAGAATGCCACTGGCAATTTGCTTGAACTTTGCATTCATTTAAAGATACACTGCAAATAGTGGTAATAAACTGTGCAGACTGTGCTGTGTAGATAGAAGTACATAGAACTGCCAGATGAAGTCGTATAATTCTCACAAAGGCATAAAATGATTCAAACTCTGCCATGTATGTTTTGCAACGTGTTGGATTTGTAGTCTGCTTAATGTCTCTGTGCAGATGATTTCCCTGTGCATAATTTCACTTGTACATTCTGAGTTAATCAGAATGCCTTATTAAGCTAATTTAAAAGTAGCTTTCAATTTAACATTTCTGATTATGATAAAAACAGTAGATGGAGCTAAATCAACCATGCAGAAAGACAATTTCCCACTGTTCTGTAGGCCAAGAACCTGACAATGAAAATCACATCAGTAAGCCAAAGTTAATTTTAAACAGGAGCTTGAAGATACTGGGAGTGTCTTTTGACGTTTGTAAATATGGCATTCATTAGGAAACATTTGTAAAGTTGAGATTCTTCTTTCATTCCAGTTTAAGTTTTCTTCTCAGTCCTCCCTGTAACAGCTGAAAAGCTGTTCTTTCTTGCACTATTACTATTTCTTTTAAAAGTTTTATTCTTAGTGGGTGGCAATTTAAAAATTGTAGGTAGAAACTGTGTGTTAGTCCCTGTAGGTAGCAATTATCAGTTGATCAGGGGATTAGTCTATTCATATATCTCAGGAAAAATGAAAGGCTGGAAAATCATGAAAAGAATCATGAATCTTTAACTAGTATATCTTGAGCCAAATTGAATTTCTGAGTGCTTTATGGTGCAATTCAATGCAGATTTAAACAGAAAAAGTCCTAAAGGATTCTTCAGACACCCTGCTGGCAGGGGAATTCTGGGAGTTGTAGGACTCTGCTGTCTAAATGTTCATAAGGTTGCATCCTAAATTTAGTCTTCTTTCCTATCTAACTCATTTATTTGAGCAGCCTTGTCATTATTGCAATCCCTTTGGTGTCACTAGAGTGCTCTTGAAGATCACCTGTCACTCCCTTCTTGTGTATCAATATATAATAGCCCTAATAGCAACCATTTGAGGCTTCCAAATATATATAGGGGAAAGGCATGTTTGATACTCTAAGTCTGCTGATATTCCAATGTTTAAACCCAAACATTTAATTGCAATTAAATTGAGATGTCGCTGTGCAGTGTTCTGCCAACATTACTCATGCTAGTGTAAGATTTGTCTTCTCTTTCCTGCTTTCTTTGTGCTTCGGCATTGTTTTCATTGAGGCTCCCAACTGAATATGAGAGGAACGGGAGATATGAGGGCTCAAGGTGAGGGCAATTATTTTTTGCTTTAAAAATGTTTATGTAGATTGAGTTACACTCTTTCTCCCTTCCTTTAAATGGCATAGACAGTAGAATACTGGTGATGGTTTCCTTAGCTTAACAAATATGTAAAACCAAGATTGCCTCCTATCTGCAAAGCTGTGATTAAAACACTTAAATTACATGAATCTGACTTTGCATGCCGCCATCTCACATCCCTGGCAAGTATCTACTATCACACAGCTATAATGGATTTTTATTTATTTATGTATAGTTATGTCCCATCCTATACGCGAAAAATACTACATTCCAACTGAGAGAGGCAGGAAAATAACAGACTTCTGTTAAATGGTGGCATCCGTGTTCAGCCCACTGCTGCTGAATGAAACATCCTTCTTTCAAACAGAATGACACACGCATTTTTAAAAACAGGTTTCAATTTTAGGAACATTAAAAAGTTAACAACCCCAGTAACACGGAAACCAGTTTCATGCGATTAGGAATTAATCACAGAAATGTTTATAAGAGAGCCTTGGTTTTGGATGGCAAGTTCATTTACCTACCTAAGTTCTAGGATTTCATTGACTTTTCCCAAACTGGAATTAATTATACTGGAATCCTGTTAATACATCATATGTTAGGCTACCTAGTTAAGTGCTTCTCCTCTCAGGGGACCAACTGAACAGTACTATTTCTGGAAGTGTTTTTAAGCCATGCACACAAAGTTTATGCTTCCAGAAAACCTTTTTCCTAAAAAGAAGGAAGCTTAAAGACTCCTGTCTTTAAGGAACCAAAGTCACTAATTTAGTTTGAAGCATAAGAGCAATATGAAATTCTTATTTACAGTACAAAATAGAACAGGAGAAAGTGTGATTTGAAGGCAATGGTATGGGGATCTATCCTTTGTTTATGCCATATAGATAAAAGGTGCATTTTCACCAAAAAGGCTACAGTTCAGGGACCTTTGAGGAGAAACCATTCCACTGCTGCTGGTCTGTTTATGCTTAGATCACTCACTGGATTGTGGCCTTGATTTTGATCTAGTTGTATTAACTGCCATTATTGGAACCATAGCATACTGTTGTTAAAACTAAAACATAATGGATCTTTTTGTCACTACTGCCTTTGTTTTGTCTATACAGAACATTTAACAGTTTTAAAATAAATGTGTTGTTAACTCAGTGATTTTTCTTCTGGAGCTAAACTGACAGTTTTCAGCCATAGTTATTAGTACTGGATACAAAATGTGATAATAGGTTTAATATATAGGAAAGTGAGAAACTTACATTTTGAAAGGCTGAGCCATTATCTTCCTATGCTTCCAGCCTTGCCAAAGATACAGGTCCTAAGGGACATTTCTGGTAGGACCTCAGCATATCTAATAAGTTCATGATAAAATTATTGTACCTAATGTTGGAAAGACTGACTTTGCCTCAGGGGACACATAAACTCTCCATTAAAAATCCCCAGTACCACAATCAAATTTAAATTCAACATTTGGAATATTATGCAGGATTGGCATATTTGCTTACCTACGTCTACAGAATTTTCGATTGCCAGGCATGCATGTAAGGAAGTGGGAAGTATTTGGAAAATAAGAGGATTTGAAGCAGAGAAGCAGCATGGCTGGGAAGCAGTTAAATGCCGCTGCTGCCACCTCTTCATTAACCTCCCAGGTTGCTTTCTGGGCGTAGGAGAGATGACCCTTTGTGGAGAGTGACGTGCCTTGGCATATAACATACAACTCTTTAGGACTCTCTCATTCAGATGTGGCTGAGCAGTAATGGGGACTTTTAATCATAGTGGGGATTGGTGGTGGCAGTCCCTAAGAAAGCGTGCTGCAAAAGACAGTGGCCTTTACTAACATAATTTCCAAGGGAATTGATTCATCCCATTGAATACTAAACCTTGTTTTCATTTCAGTCGGAATGTAGCTGTTGATCAAAAGGATGACAACAAGGAAGCCAAGCCCCGTTCACTACGATTTACTTGGAGCATGAAAACCACCAGTTCCATGGATCCTAATGACATGATGAGGGAAATTCGTAAGGTCTTGGATGCCAATAACTGTGACTATGAACAAAGGGAGCGTTTTTTGCTTTTCTGTGTCCATGGGGACGGCCACGCAGAAAACCTCGTGCAATGGGAAATGGAGGTGTGCAAGCTGCCAAGACTGTCACTGAATGGAGTTCGCTTTAAACGGATATCGGGAACATCCATAGCTTTTAAAAACATTGCTTCCAAAATTGCCAATGAATTAAAGCTGTAATGAGAAGATCAATCAAGTTTGTAAATTTAAAGTAGCTATTTCGGGGTGGGGGGGTTGTTTTTTTTTTTTTTCTGAGAACCCCAATGGAAATGTATAGAATAATACTTAGGGCAATAACTTCTGCATCTTCTGGATCATGACATTAAAACAGTTGAGACAAGCTGCTGAGCTGGGAGGGAGAGTTGGACTTTTTTTATAAGTGCACTACAGCATTAAAGTTGCCTACTATGTAAAATATTATTCCTTTCTGCTTTATTTCCATTGCTCTGAGTCTTGGTGAACAACCTGAAACACACAGTATATACATTTGATTATTCCTCCTGTTTGTGTGGATGTGTGAATGTACAGAATGTGTGTATAATTATAATATAGAAGTATTATATGTAAAACAATTCGTTTATAGCATCAGAACTGTATCAGAACCCTCCTCTGAGGGCTAATTTTGGTGCTAAAATTTGAAGTGGCCAAGATGGAAAAACTTGAGAATACTTTAAGTGACTAGTTAACCAGTAATGCCAGTTTTACGATTTCTCTGCTGTGTTTAACATTAGTATAAGAAGGGTTTGGGTTTATGGTTGTGAACATTATACCTGTGGTTTTTTTTTTTTTTAATTTGCTCTCATGAGGTAATTTAAAACTCATGTTTTTTTCCCAAGTCTTGCCTTCTTTCTCCCACCTATTTATTATTATTTAAGTCTGGAATCAAATTAAAACTACACATTTGTCCTAATTAAAATTGTGGGGAAATGCTTCAGTTTTTTCTTTTTCCTTATTAAGTAGAAATTGAACGTTTTTATCCTTTCAATCTTTTCACTTCAAGGTTTTTACTAGTACAAATTACCATTTTTTGTGATTTTATTATTGACAGCTTTGCTGTTGCAGAGCTTCTATTCATTTTAGTGGAGCTTATGCGGGAAACCTTCTGGTGGATGTCACCTTTTCTCAACCTGGAGAACTGAAGTGATTTCAGCTTTAGTAATTTATGTTCAGGTATAAATATAAAACTTCAGTCTTGCTGGAACTTGTCCCTTGTTAACAACATTTCAATGTAGCAAAAGTCTCCTTGGTAAAACAGCTGGGTCAGAGTAGCCAAGAAAGAAAAAGATCCTTGAATACCAATTGATAGTAACTTTCTAGTAAAAATTTCCCATGAATAGAAATACTGACTCACATTAAACAAAAAACAAAACCCTTGTGAACATTTCCGGGAAAAAGTTAAAGTGAGAAAAATACCTATGCCTTTTTTATGTTCTCTGTCAGCTTTCATCCACCTGGAGCTTTCTGTATACATTGGACTTTACCACACTCACGATTCTTAACCAGCATCTTCTAGAACAGTGATTCCCAGAGTGGGTGGTGCATCCCCCATGGGGGTAGTTGAAAGATCTAGGGGTGGTGGTGATTGGTTGCTTTAAATTTGCAATAGAGCAGTAGACCTAAAATAAAGAAAGAGGTGTGGGGGCACTAGGGTTGTCGCCCAAGAAGGAAGGTGACAGCAGCCCAAAATGGTTTGGGGACCACTGTTCTAGAAGCAGCAGTGATCAGTAACCTAACTAAAACTTTAACTATCAGCCTATCTTAACTGACCAAAAGCTATCATATCCCTTAAAAGAAATTGTGTTAGTAAAGTCAGACTGTTACTGAAAACAGGCCTTTTTTGTTTGTCAGCACAACTGCTTGGCACGTTTTCTTGGATATCACATACACATCTAAACTAAAGATCCTGCATGTAACACATGCACTGTATTCTGTCACCTAGAAACTCAGTGTTTACAACTGGAAGCAATTCTGCAAATCTGTCTAGGTTCAATATACTTCCTTCTCTTGCAGATATGGGGATTTTCTGTAGTTTCAAATCTGAACATTTTTAGTTGCACTGCATCAGGGCTGGGACAGAGGTTGTAAGGAAAATCAGTATTAGCTGTTCCTTCAAATACATATGTCCAGTACCTAGACCTTACCTAAATCTGTGTTTTCTGAGCCTTTGGGGAGTATTTAACTAAACACTTTTAGACTTTCTGAGCAATCATTTAATTAAAAAAATAACTTCACAAAGCAGGCTATATTCTGTAATGTGCAGTGTGTTCACAACTGTTCTGATTTCCTATATCCCCTTCCCTTTTAAAGAACTCAGCTGTACCCAACCTAGTCTACAAGCTGGTGCAGGGTTCTTAGTGGTCCCTCTTAAGCTGAATATGTCATGTCTTACTTAGGCCAATGAAAGGCATAATCTTGATACCTTTCCCATTTGTATCAATGTCTTCCTTGAGTTAGGCTTGAAATGGACTTAATTATCTTTCCATTATTTTGTGCATGGTCTTATTTTAGTGGTTGTGGTTCTGGTATAGCAAAGAGCTTCATTTCAAACAAAAATAAAATACTTTAAATGCAGTGAATCATAATACATCATCTCGATGCATTCAACTTGGGTTTCACCCAGGTGGCTAATAGAGAATGCCAAGTGTTTCAGATCAGTTTTAATTTCTTTTGTAATTTTTTCCTTGTCCTTCCTCCGTAAGCATGCCATACTTCTTAAAGGGTCATGTAACTATAGGAAAACAAAACTGGTCTGATTTAATGTATTTTGTATAGAGATTGAATGCTAGGAATTCAATCAACTGTGACTAGAATTCTTTTTGTTAAAGCAATAAACAATATGTCAGGGCAATTTTCAGAGAATACCAGGTGAGTAACCAACTCTCCTTAAAAAACAAGGCCCTTTTTTGTTTATCGGCAATAGCTTATAAAATGCCTTAAGCAGGCCCATAAAATTGCCCTGATCCAATGCTTTCATGAAGAGAGACAAACCAAAAACAAGGAATATAGAAATTAGTTGAGGAATTACATAAACTAGAGCTGCTTTAGACTTTATAGGAGGCTTTGCCAAATAGGATTTTATCATATTCATGAACATGGACACCATGATTCAGATAATCCACTCACAGATGCCACAAACATCTGTGGGACAAACAGTTGGATTTCACCTATCTGTTTACATTGTGACTCTATTAAGTTGATGTAAAATGCTGCTTCTGGCCATCACTACTGTAACCATTTGCTTATTTATGTGCAAATAGTACATAAATAAAAACCTTGCTAAATTAGAACAATCTTCTGTCTAGTCCAGACATCCCACCCATGTTTCATCCAGCTATTTGGACTACAACTTGCAGCCTTCCTGACTATGTGTTAGCTTGGGCTAACAGGCACCCCAAATATCTGAAGGACACCATGCTGTAGAAGACTGTCCTCTGTCACCATCATGTTTGCCATAATGGTCAATCAGATGCTTCTCTGATACTTCCTAGTAGCAGAGCATGAAGGCAATGGCTGTTGGCCACAACTGTCTCCACAACACAGAACTCAGAAGCACTGCTTCTAACCATCCATGATAGAGCTATCTTCCGAGTATTAAACTAATACAGAGAAACCTTTTCAGGGTTCTTTCTCGTTTGCTTTGGATTTGGCCATACTGAATATGATTTCATGTACTAATTTAGTCATTTCATTACTGATCCCTGACAGCCCAGACAGGCATAATGGCAGCCAGGATTAATAGTATGTACTTGTAGGTTTTTGTCTGTACCTTATCTAGGGTAGAGTTTGCTGCTGTGTGAGCAGAATGCTGGACCAGGTGGACCATTGGTCTGATCTGGCAGGGCTTATTAAGTGCTTTCTGCATAAGCTGACCTACCTCTGTACAGGGCCAGAATTTCAGGTGACTCAGGTGCCACCTACACTGTGCATGGGTAGTACATAAGTGCATGCATAAATAATGAGGTCCACATAGAGCGCATAACATGAGCAAAGAGGAAAATCCAAGTCCATGGTTAGGCAATAACTTGAGTAGGATCTACAAAAATGCCAGAAAAGATTGAGCAGAGTTTTGAGTTCTTAAAAATTACTACAGTTTTTCTGTATTGACTAACATAGTTCTCTTTATTTCTGTTTTAACCCCCTACTCAGGGACCTCTACATCTTGACCAGGGTTAGACACAGCTAAATTGCACAGCCTTTCTGTTCTCAGAAGTAGGGGTGAATAACAATATTTTTATGAACTTCTATATTTATACAAAACTTCTACATTGGGTTTCCTTGAGCCTGTTTACATTCTCAGTATGTATCTGCAAGATGTGGTTTTGGCTGAGTGCAGACACACATGTTCTAGTCTAAAACCACTCAGTTCCCATTCAAACCCCCCTTTGTAAAAAGATCCAGAGTTTTGACAGTCAAACTTTGATAGCCTGCAGCTGTCAAAGTTGCTTTTCCGTAGAAAAAGCAGCAGCAGAATGCACTTCTGCACTTTCTAGAGTACCCTGAAGCTCAGGACAAGTAAATGTGTACCATGAGGGGAACTAGTTAAGGTGAGGGGGATCTTGCTTCAGAGGGGTGTGATCCCTTCCAGAACCTTTTCAGACCAAAAGATGCCTTGTGCCCTTAGTTTTTCTTGACAGCTTGCTTTTGGACAGATTTCAAGAAGAACCAACATGGGCTCGGGTGGGATTGTATTTGGAGCCTGTTCTGGGCATTGTCCAGTCAAGTTTTTTACATCGCCATAGTTACATAACCACATTTTAAAAACAATGCACTTAAAAGCTAAGCATTCACAGACAACCCCTCCAAAGCCCTGCTGGGACCCTTTGAGGGGACTGCTCAGAGCTGTCAAAAGGTGACTTCTGCAAACTCCAAAAAGACACAGAAAAAAGAAATAAAAGCTTCCAGGAGCCTGAAAGAGCTAAGATGTTGGTGGTGAAGGGTGGCTTATTCCTTCTCCGATGTCCACTAAGATATCCAGAGAAGGACTGAAGTGGGCAGTACAGGGTCAACAACATAATACGGATCCAATATTTAGTGGTGGGGAGAAATTCATTGTGGGTTGCTTGCACAACAACCAACCCACTGGTTTGTTGTCTGCAATGGGCTAGCCTGATGTACAAATACACCCAGTGGGTTCAATCCAGTACTACTTGAATCCCGTACATTTAGTGGTCTACTTCAAGGAGGATTAATACAGGACACAACCAGTATCTGAAGAGGGCCAAAATCAGAAAGGGGAGTCACGTTTGAATGGTTGCCATTGCAATCTTTACTGGAACTGCACAATGGGCTTTCAGTGCATTGTGTGTATTTGGAGTGTGGACACAGTTTTAGCTTGTGTAGATAGAAAAAGCAAGTATAAAAGGGCCAGAACCCATCAAGATCTTGTAGCAGAGCTAACCTTACAATGAATAGCAT